CTCGGCTGGAGGAACCGGCTCGATTGCACCCTTCGCCAGGAGGGCAGCAATCTCCTCTCGCAAGACAGGGGCGGACAGGGGGTTGACCCTGGAGAAATACACGCCCGTAAACTTGGGGGGCCGTTTCGCGAACTGAATCGCGTAACCGAGTCTGATTGTGCGTATGAGCCACCGCGAGGGGCTGGCCCGCGCTAACCAGGCAGGCAGAGCCCTCGCTAATGGAGTCATCGCTACAATCGCTGACGTACCAGCGGTGGGGCAGCGCGGAGTGGGTGTGCTGATCCGGGAAGCACGAGGGTCCCGCGGAAGAGCTGGAGGAGAGCGATTCGCTCTGGCTCCGCACCCTGACTCCGGAGAGGGGGCTGGAGGGCTGAGGGAAGGGAGACCGTCCCCCCAGCGCTCGTGAGCCACTGGCGAAGCACGTAGAGTCTGCGAGCCGGAAGGCAGCGCGTCCCGGACTGGCAGAACTCGTGCAGTCACATCCGGGGAAGGGAAAAAGTGCTCTTTTACTGATGTTTTGGTGGCACTGAAAAGTACCGTTGTTATCGGGGCCCCGCCCTCCAGCGGGGAAAGAGCAAGTTTCCTCTTCTCCGGATGGCCTGTCTCAGGGACGCTTCGCGGTCCGTTTACCGGACTTAACGGCGCCCTGGGCAGGAGGGGCTGCCTGCTTTCGAGGTGAACGCCGCGCCCGCTTGGCCGGAGGCGCAGGCGGGGGCGGGGCAGCACTCGTTGGCGGGCGCCCTCGGCGAGGAACAGCGGAGGTGGATGGCTCGGCGGGCGGAGCGGGCTTACGGCCACGCCGATAGATGACATTGCCCATCGCATCCGACTGCTCTTTCACCGCCTTGAATTCCTGGGTGAATTCACCGACGGTGTCGCCGAACAGGCCAGCCTGGGATATGGGCGAGTCAAGAAAGCGAACTTTGTCAACGTCGCGCATATCGGCCAGGTTTAGCCAGAGGTGGCGTTCCTGAACCACAAGTGTGGACATCGTCCTCCCCAGCGCACACGCGGCGGACTTAGTAGTCCGAAGAGCATAGTCGGTCGCGGTGCGCAGCTCATGTAATAAGCTTGGGTTGGACCCGCCCTCGTGCAGCTCGGCCAGCGCCTGCGCTTGGTAGCGCTGGTAGGTGGCCATCGCGTGCAAAGCAGAAGCAGCCTGGCCCGCAGCCTTATAAGCTCTGGCTCCGAGGGAGGCAGACAACCTACAGGCTTTGGACGGGAGGCGGGGCAAACCCCGCCACGTAGAGGCGCCGCGCGGACAAAGATTGACCGCGATAGCGCGCTCCACTGACGGGATCGCCTCATACCCCCTGGCAGCTCCGCCGTCAAGGGCGGTGAGGGCGGAGGCACTCGCAGCACGGGCAGAGAAAGGTGCCCTCCAGGACTGCGTGAGCCTACTGTGCACTTCCGGGAAGAAGGGGACGAGAGGCTTCGAAGGCTTCGCCTTCTGGTCCTCTACGTAGCACCCATCTAGTCGGTCCGGCCGCGGAGCTGAGGGATAAACCATCTCCAACCCCACGGCCGAAGCAGCCCGGGAAAGCACGGCTAACATGTCCGCTTCAGGATCCGATTTGACAGCGCTCACCTGCCCGGAGGGGGCGAGCGGGTCCGGATCTTCGTCGGACAGTGAAAGCCCACCCTCCGATGCCGCGGAGGACATCTGATCTCCGGTGTCAGCGAGTGTGAGAGCTACCATCTGGTTAAACGGATCACTCTCACCACCCGAAGCTTGGATGGAGCGCCGTGAGGAGCGAGAGGTCCGCGAGCCCGTGGGCGGCGGATTATCTCCCGCTGAAACCCTCAGATCTGCCCGAGCGCCCGCTGCTTTTTTAGAACAGGAGGCAACTGGGGTGGCTCGCTCTCTTGCGAAAGTTAGCCGCGATCTTAGCTGTGCAACGGTCATGGCATCGCAATGACGACATGAACCGCCCGCGAGCACCGCATTAACATGCTGGACCCCCAAACATGCAATGCAGTGATCGTGTCCATCATCCGGAGACAGGAAACCCCCGCATCCAGAAACGCACAGTCGGAGCGCCATCCTGAAAAGGACGTGCTGCACGACTGTGTTGCTCTTTTAGGAAAGTTGCAACTATACGCACCGCTCTGGAGGACCGGACCCAAAGAACCGCAGGCAAGGGAGTAACCCAGCTCGACCGTCTGCCACCGCGAAGACCCACTCTGGACCGGGAGACACACTCGTTCGCTCTGAAGTGCTGATCAGCAAGAGGAACCCTCATCGACTCACTCAGAAAGGATCTGAAGCGAAAAGGATGGCGTCTGTTGGCTTCAGGTGTGCTTATATGCTGAGATAATTGCAGATGTCGCACACCTGCGCAAGCTTACGCTGCCAATTAATTTCATTCATTGGCCCGTTCAATACTCTCCAGATAAGCGGCTTCTGATCCGAATCCTCCCATTCATGGCACTGAAGTTCCCCAACCGAAGGGGAACTTGTAGCAATTTATATGTAATACAGTTTGATATATTTACCCTCAGTCCACAGCCCTGAATTAAGTTTAGTTTACGGCCCTTCATAAGAAAAAGTTTGGGCACCCCTGGTTTAAATGACAGTCACTGCATTTAGGTCATTCTGATTTTAACGACTTGATTACAATTGGATCAGACTCAGGTTTCAAGCTGTTAGCAATAGAAATTCAAGCTCCTCTTCATGATCAGGTCATATTCAGTGTTAACTTTACAGCTTAATTAAGACTTTATTAAAAAAGCATTATGTCTAGGTGTGTTTATATGTGCTAGAGAGGACAACTGACAAGGATTTGAAGTCACAACTGATGGATTTTTTATTGGGAAGTGCTCTCAGTGCTGCCGTCAACCAAACTCTATCTAAAGAACAGTTACAGTGCAGATGTATACATTTTATAAGGCAGTGCTAAAAGGTGGTGACAAAGCACAGGGTGGCACCATTAATTATTTATGTAATCTTTAATTATTTATATTTTGATAGTAGTTCAAAGGGTCTTGCAGGACTCTGAAGTTTCACCTGCTCAGATCTAATCAAGCGATCTGTGGCCCTCATACATGTGCATTATCATTAAGAAACATCTACTCATAGGAATTTATGCTGACTACTTCTGAAGGTGAAAGTGGCACCAATAAAACATTAAAGACAAAAGATGATAATCACAGTGACCTGGCTCTTTTGAATGGTGAAACAGGCCAGGCAGAAACCAGAACATCACATGATCAACTTAACTGTGCTTATAAAAAAACAGTAACTTAAGTAAAAAAAAAATTCAGCGTGTAGGTGTTTTATGTCTTAAGTAAGCCGACACAGAGTCTGCACGTGCAGAAATCTGCAGTTTTTAGGCCATTTTGAGTCTCTTTATTTACTTGTGTAAATGTGTGTGTAAATGTATATTTATTCAGTTTTTATATTCACTGTAAAAAAAATGCTGGGTTCCACACAATCGATTTGTTTGGGACAACATGAAGGAATTAAGTTAACGTATTGAACATAAAAACAGTTAAGTTGTCCCAAAAAAAAAATTTAATTTCAGTAATATTCTTGAGTAAATTCTGCGTGATTAATCAAAAAGTAATCGAAATCATCATTCTGAATCTATTCAAAATTTTCCAGGTCAATTTTTTATTATTTCCCTACTGAATCACGTTACCCTCGCTCAAAAAAATACAATTGCTGCTTGTTCAAACTACTTATTTAAAATGAGCTAAAATAACACAATTCTTGAGTGTTTGTTCAGACAACTTAATTGTTTTATGTTCTATCAACTTAAATTTGCAAAAACTAAAAAGTTATCTTAATTCCTTCATGTTGTGTGGAACCCAGCATTTTTTACAGTGCTGCTGAACTGAAAACTGTTCATGTTATGGGTCTTGGCCGCAGAACTCATAGGAAGATTAAAAGTGACTGAATCATCAGGAAAAACAAATTCCATACGCATTCATGTAATACGAGCATGCAAATCTCTTTGCCCGCATACCAATTTCCTCTGTTCATGCACAAAACTTGTTGTTAAAACTTATCGGCGCTGATAAGAACAAATGATTTTGCTTCAGTTGTTCAATGTGGATGTTCAATAAATAATCATTTATAGTAGTTAGTGTGTGTTTACTTCAATTAACTTAAAAGCAAGTAATGCACCCTTCATTCAAAATCTCTCGTGATATGTAAATATATATACTAAAATAATCATTCATTAATCGTAATCAGGTTAAAATGTTTTGCTTTGAGGCCAGTTCAGTTAGTAAAGTAATATTTTCTGTCTTCTAGTAGAAATATATTATATAACAGACTTAATTTGTTTACCAAACAAGCGGATCTAATTAGATTTGCCATGTAAACCTTAGGTAAAAGTTAAAAAGTGATTATTTTATATTTCATGTTTTAAGTTTTTTCTAACTATATTTCCAAAGTCATTCTGGATAAATCTGCAGATTTATTTAATTTTAACAAAATTCTGCTCAGAAATGGCAAAAAATGTCTGCAGATACTGTCTGGCTCATAAGTGAGTTAAAAGAAGGCATTATGCTAATCTTCATAGGGTAAGAACTTACTAGCATAACTATCTGCATCTGTATTATTAATGTGCATTGTCACTGTCAAATAAACCTGAAAATGAAAAAAAAATCAAACAATGTGTGCCAGAACAAACCATCTTTGGATTTATCAAAGAAAACATAATAATGAAAACACAGAAAAGAAAAGAGTGTTTTCTTTACTTGTGCCCATATGTTTAAAATTCAGAAAAATGACATAGCCTGAATATTTTGATAATGGAGTCATGTTGTTTTAAATTTGCTTTGCTTTTGGTACATTGCATTGATCATTATGGAAATTAGCTTCTTCATCTGTGTTCTGTAATTTGTGCAATATCAAAACAATCTTGCATAGCTTTTTAATGTTTTGTTTTTACTTCTACTTATCTGCAGCTTATAGTCACAATTAGACGTTTTAGTAAAGCCCTGTTAAGTAGATCTGCTCATTTGTCTTGTCCTAATTTGTGTCTCTTCAGTGCAGTGATGGAGAAGCCCCAGAAGACAGAGGAAGAGCAGCCGCCTTGCCCACAGGGGGCAGCACCTGATGGTGGTTGGGGATGGGTGGTGGTGGGGGCTCTTTTCGTGATTTCTGCCCTGGTGTTCGGGCTCATCCGCAGTCTGGGCGTCTTTTTTGTGGAGTTTGTGCAGTACTTTGATGAGAGTGCACAGGCCGTGTCCTGGATAACATCCATCGGGCTGGCCATGCAACAGCTAATGAGTAAGTTGATATGCAGATTTAATCTGTGTATGTCTAAATTAAAGTGACCCGCTATGCTTTTTTCAATATTACAGTAGTTTTCATGCTGTGTGTAATGTAGCTGCTTGTGATTATTAAAAGCAATAAATGACAAAGAAAGTGATTGTCATATGAAAGAAAAAAAAGGATCCTCAACTGCTGAAATGAGTCATCTGTAATTGCAGTTTCGCTTTCTTGATTGGTCTAGATCTGCAACATATTTGCATAATGTCAGCCTGTGATCTTTATTGTCTGTCTGTGAATGGCGTCTGCTTTAACTGTCAAACATTTTTGTTGGTTTCTCTTGTTAAGAGGAAGCATTTCAAGTTAAAGCAGTATGTGTTTATTCTAGTGCAACTTTCACAAAAAATTGCAAACAATTGGTAACTAGTATGGATATATTTAGCTAATGTTTTCAAGAGTAATCTTAACAAAACATTAGTTTTTTTTGCAAGTACATACTATGCACTTATCAGGCATTACATAAGCTGAGTAATAACTACACTGTAAAAAATCTATCCGCATTTTGTAATTCATGTTTTTATTTACTTCCTTTAATCATTGCTTTTGAATTGCATTATGGGACCTTGATCTTTCTTTCAACAACTTTTTACCTTAAAAAGTAGAAAAAAATGTGACTTTTATTCATTCATTCATTCATTTTCTCGTCGGCTTAGTCCCTTTATTAATCCGGGGTTGCCACAGCAGAATAAACTGCCAACTTGTCTAGCAAGTTTTTACGCAGCGGATGCCCTTCCAGCCGCAACCCATCTCTGGGAAATGGACTTTTATGAACTTTTTTTGTTAGTTTTAAGAGATTGTTTGAGTTGGTGTCAGATTTTATGATACAAAACCTGGTAATAAACTGCCAGTGCATTTTCTGTTATTTTACAGACTTATTTCTCTCTATTTAATTTCTTATACCTTAAATTACTTCAAAGTACTAAAATGACAATAAAAGTCACTGAAGTAAACTAAGTTGAATTTTCAATATCAAAAGTCAACAGAACAGAGATCAATATCCCGTAATGCAATTCATAAATGTAATCACAAAATACGGAAACTGTTAATTAACAGATATATTATACAATGCAAGTAAAATCCCTTAACACTGGAACTAGGATGGCTTTATCAGTCATTCATATGACAGGGTGTCTGCGGGGTCTTAAATATCTTAAATTTCAAAAACTAAATTTTAGGCTTAAAAAGTCTCCAATTGGTTGAAGTTTTGTGTTGTAGGTCCTAAATTATTTTAAACAAATCTTAATTCTCCTATGTCCATATGAACTTACCCAATCGGACACCCATCCGATCACCAACAATACATCTCAATAAATGTTGTTTTTTAAAAGTTTGAAAAACCTAAAGTTATGTTTCTGTTATAAGAAAGTTACTGTATGTTAGGCTAATAAGGCAAGCACATGGGAAAAGTAGTAGATGCTGAAGTGTATGAGGTCAATTTGACCGTTATGGCCATTCAGGACTGGAAAACTCTGAAATATACAGAGATTTAGGAAGTCAGGGTACTATTATTTTATTGGTTTATTTAAAAACTTATTATATTAAAACCTTTAAAAATGGTCAAAATGACGACACGCCTGGGTAGTTCTAGTGTTAACCTCTATCACAAACCAATGTAGTTACAGTCAAGACCAAAATTATTCATACTCCTGGCAGAATGTAAATCAAAGCTAAGAAATATTTTATCCACAATCATGCCTTCTATACATCGTCTTATCATCTTTTGGGAGAAGCCTGTGTCATTTCCAGTCAAAAAAACAACAAACTTGCTGGTTGAATAAAAGAAACTTTAAAGAGCCTCTATTTTGCATTAAAAAGGTCATATTTTGGTTTTAGGGGTCTCCAACAACATGCTGACATGCGTGCAAGGTCAAAAAACTCTTTCATTGTCTTATAATATGCATTTAATTTTTTACCTAATTATCCCAGCGACTCCCATATGAATCGTTCACCAATTCATTTGTTCCCAAACCATTCCTTAGCACGAAGCTAATCTGCAGTGATTGGACCGATGACTCTGTCTATTGTGATTGGTCGATTGGGTTCAGCGCACGGCAGAGAGAAATGCCCACCACGGTTATGCGGTAGCACAGAGTATGTGAGAGCCGAATGCAGGAATGCAATAAAGTAATGCAGTTAAACACCAGCATGTTACTCTACTTTTAATCATAACCCCAAGTGATAACAATGACACACATTCAATATTAATGTACACAGTGGCAAAAGTTGAACTGTTTTGAAAATTGACAGCTTTACGCGTGAGGAATAGCTGATGGTGGCCATAGCAAAGACAAACAGCAGAGGGTCACCAGTTCAGAATCGCACTTAAAATCTGTAAAAAAAAAAAAAGAAGCATGCGTCATGTTTTTAACATAGTTTTGGACACAATATGTGACCAGGCCCATACAAATTTAACCTGAGAATATAGTACAAGCACTGATCTTTAATCGATACGTCATCACAAGCCACCCCCAAGCGATTATAACACACAATTAAACACATATTTTGCAAACTACACAAAACGAGACATCAATTTTCATGACATTTACATGTTATAATCCAGATTAAGAAGAAACTGGTCCATTTGAACTGTAACAGTTACTGACAAAGTCCCTGTCTAAGTCTGACAAAGTCCCATAGTCTCTTTTGCTCCTTCAATAGCAAACGGCCGACGAATCCCACATTGCTTCAGTTATTCTATCAATCGTCAGAAAAATGACAGAAACAAACAGCACTAGGTTGGCTATACTGTGGTATTGTTGTGAAAATGAACTTTAACCCTTAAATCCCATCTGTCAGTGATCGTCATCTTCGCGTCATGATCAGTTCTGTGATCCCCTGTGCCTCTGCTACTATCTGAAGTGAAAGCGTGTTCACATTGTACCGTAACTGGAACTACATATTTGGTGATGTACCGCATCGACATCGATGAGATCAAACAAAAGATCCGAACCCAACTTGATTCTTTTATTCGACTATTTCGTTAAAGAATCAATATATTTAAACAAGGTGCACTTTTAGATTTAAACCTCAGCTGGAAGTTTTCATTCACTCAGAGCTGTGTTACACACTGCACGGAAGGTCATTTTCAAAAAACCATAATAGAGGATCTCTAAGTCAGAATTTGGAAGCGGTAAAAATAATTTTGGGCTTTGCAGTATATAACTTTTGGTTTACATACCGTAAAATAAGTGCTAACCTAAACTTTTGTGATTGTGATATTCTAATGGCTTAAATCGATGGATGCATGCAAACTTATTATTAGGGACCCATAAAATAAAAAGAGAAGCACTTAAAGCATATCGGGACACTTTAACAAACACAACCTACAGTAGTAAAGAACCAGACTTTGGCTTAATTACTGTAAATATGTCTCTGCATGCAGGTCCAATAGGCGCAGCTGCTAGTAATGTGTATGGAACCCGTCCTGTTGTTATGATAGGAGGATTTCTTTCAGGCCTGGGATTCATTCTGGCTTCACAGGCAACATCGCTTTTACATCTTTACCTGACCATGGGACTAATTTCAGGTAAATGCTCATGTAAGAGTGGCTTTTATTTGTTATTAACCAGTTTCAGGATACTGAGTGGGAATCATTTCTTTCTGTTTGTCTTAGGTTTAGGCTGGGCGCTGGTCTTCACCCCTACTATGGCATCAGTCATGCAGTATTTCACCAAGCGGAGATCTCTAGCCATGGGCCTGGGCTTCACAGGCGTTGGTCTTGCCTCCTTTGCCTTCTCTCCTCTTTTTCAGTATTTAGTCGAAGCATACGCCTGGCGCGGGGCCTTGCTCATCCTTGGAGGCCTCAGCTTCAACATGGTTGCTTGCGGAGCGCTCATTCGGCCTCTGGGGACTCCAAAAGTGGCCGTGAAGGTATGTTTTGATGAACTGTTTAAAGGTTTGGGGTTAGTTACAATTTTTAAAAAAGGAAATAATGATTTTATTTATATGGTGTGCATTGCACAGATCAAAAGTGATCAGTTTAAACATGTTACAATAGTTTTCTGTTCATCAAAGAGTTCTGAAAAAAAAACAGCAAGCATATCAAAATTACTTCTCAAGTATAGTGAGATTGTGAAGACTGGAGTAAATACATTACATGAATAAATAGCTTTTTAAAGTGTTTTAAAAATTGATAAAAGATGAAATATAACTGCCGCCTCACAGCAAGAACCATGCTGGTTCAAATCTCGGCTAGGCAAGTTGCCATTTCTTTGTGGAGTTTGCATGTTCACCTGGTTTTGGCGTGTGTTTCCTCTGGGTGCTCCGGTTTCCCCCACAGCCCAATGACATGTGCTATAGGGCAATTGGATGAACTAAATTGGCTGTAGTCTATGGGTGTGTGAACGAGAGAATGTGTATGGGTATTTTCCAGTACTGGTTTACGGCTGGAAAGGCATCCACTGCATAAAACATGCTGGAATAGTTGGCTATTAGGCTGAAGGAAAATGAATGATTGAAATAAAATTAAAGATAAAATAGCATAAAGTTATTTTAAAATATTGCAGTATTTCATATTGCATTGCATCAACACTTGACAGAGAGTGTGTCTGGACCTTTTATTTGCTCATTGTAATTTTTGATAATGAGGGAATAACACACCTGGCCATGGAACTGCTTAGAAGCCAATTGTCCAATTACTTTTTGACCCTTAACAAGTGGGAGGCACATATGTAAACTATTGTAATTCCTACAGCCTTCACCTGATTTGGATGCAAATATCCTCAAATTAAAGCTGACAGTGTGCAGTTAAAGCACATCTTATATGTTTTATTTCAAATCTATTGTGTTGGTGTATAGAGCCATACATGTTAGAATTGTGTCCATTTACCAATATTTATGGACCTAATATTTATTCTTCCAGAGAAAGTCTTATTTGTTTTATTTCAGCTAAAAGTAAAAAAAATGTAAACATTATTTTAAGGACAAAATTATTAGCCCCTTTTAAGTTATATATTTTTTTCGATAGTCTACAGAACAAACCATCGTTTTACAATAACTTGCCTAATTACTCTGAACTGCCTAAACACAATTGGCTACTGTCTGAGCTGGAGTATTTGCATAAATACTATTTAATTAATATTTTAATCCAACATGCAGACTTAAGTTTTTACTTAAATAATAATTCATCTTAAGTTTAATTATAGATAACTATTACAATTTTGCATAATTAAAATTAAATAAAAAATATGTTAGAATTATTTACATTTACAGTCAAAATGAATAGCCCTCATGCGATTTAAATATATATATATTTTTTATTGTATTTTTTTCAAATATATACCAAGTGAGATTTAACAGGGCAATGGTTTTTTCACAGTATTTCCTGTAATATTTGTTCTGTTAAAAGTCTTATTTGTTTTATTTCGGCCAGAGTAAAATACATTTTAAGGTCAATATTATTAGCCCCTTAAGGCATTATTTTTTTCCAGATTGTCTACAGAACAAACCATCGTTATACAATGACTTGTCTAGTTTCCCTAACTTGCCTAATTAACCTAGTTACACCTTAAGGCTAAATATTAGTATCTTAAAAAATATCTAGTAAAATATTATTTACTGTCATCATGGCAAAGATAAAATAAATCAGTTATTAAAAAGGAGTTATTAAAACTATTATGTTTAGAAATGCATTGGAAAACAACTTATTTCTGTTAAACAGAAATTGGGGAAAAATATAAAAGTAGGCTAATAATTCTGACTTCAATAATGAATAACAATGTCTAATAATAATCATTTATGTTATCTTTTCAGACTGAAAACTCGACCAAACTCAACAAATGCTCATTTCTGCTCTCCCGAATCTACGAGTGCTTCGAGCTCTCTCTGTTGACACACCGGGGCTTCGTCACGTACGCCGTGGCCATCACCTTCTTCAATGCTGGCTACTTCATCCCCTACGTTCACCTGGTTGCCCACAGTCGCCACATTGGTTTCACCGAGTACCAGGCAGCCTTTGTGATCTCTATAACTGGAGTGGCAGACATCGTGGGTCGCGTGGCTTCCGGCTGGGCCTCAGATCTGGGCAAGATACGTTTGCTCCACATGCTGGTGGTGTGGACCGGGCTACTGGGCCTATCTCTGATGCTCATTCCTGTGGCTGTGGTTTACGCTGGACTGCTGCTTGTCAGTATAGTTTACGGATTCTGCGCTGGAGCGATGGCACCGTTGGCCTTTGCTGTGGTGCCGGAGATTGTAGGAATCGAGCGGGTGCTGGGAGCTCTTGGCCTCTTGCAGCTTATAGAGAGTGCTGGAGGACTGTTGGGGGCACCATTGTCTGGTAGGTACTTCTTGGGGGATATGATGTTACAAATGGTTTTAGGGGCTTTCACACTGGGCACGTTTTATTGTTAGTTTGATGCACAAACGGATATTACACTGCAAACTTGATATGTTTAGATTACTTGAAACATTTTTTATTAAAACTTTTGAGTCAACGAAGTAGTTTTCACTTGAATTTTGAAGATTTTTGGGTTTCCCAGTGTTAGGTTGCGGCTGGAAGGGCTCAGAGTGAACTGAATGGATTTTGTTTTCGTCTTAAAGCCCTGATTTTATCTGAAAAAAATTTATATAGTGCTCATTATAATCGATGTATCTGTGCTTTTTTTTATTTTGTAAAAATCATGATAGTTTATCAAATGCCATAACCTTCACTTCCCCTCGAATTTTTCTTCACTTCTGGTCACATGGAATGCTATTTGGGAGGGACTATCAGGCAGGACATGTCTTTTTTTTCTGCCTCGCTTTAGTCCATTCATCAATAATCCTCCATTTTGTTGGTAACACCAATCTTCCAATGATCCAAGTGGTTTCCAAATTACAAAGTTATGCTCCACCCTTCACTTTTTACCTTTTTGAACAGTTTCAGTTGGATGTAAGTTACGATATGAGGGTATAAAAGGGCAATCTTAACTTCCATTTAACCTCCAACATATCACAACATTCCCCAAAATTACAGACTTATTTACGTCTCCCTATCTTAATCATACGCAAACACGCACAATAACGCTTCATTTCAAGATCTGTTTTCCCTAAGGTAAGGACACACCAGGCTAGTCAGGCTAGTTTGTTTGTTGTATTCCACATGTCAGTTCTCATCAGGCTCGTGTCAGATTGTGTTTGTCTAATTGATAAAATGCTTGGGAGCTGGAATTGATTGTCATTGAATGTGAGCACCCATCTTTTGGACGAGATGTTAAACTTTGGTTATTAAAAATCCCATAGCACTTCTTGTAAAGAGCAGGGGCCCCGGTATCCTGGCCAAATTCCCTCAATCAGCCCTTACTAATCATGGCCTCCCAGTCATCCACATCTCCTGAATTGCTCTATCACCTATCCACCAATAGTTGGTGTGTGGTGAGCGCACTGGAGCCATTGTTCTGTGGCTGCCATCGTTTCATCACACTGGTGATGGTGTGGAGAGACCCCCCTCATGATTGTGAAGTGCTTTGGGCATATGGCCATATACAGTAAATGCGCTATATAAAAACATTACTTTACATTACATCACACTCCTATTGGCTGTTTAGCTATGAATCAAAGAGCAAGAACACAAACTAAACTGACAAAACTAAGCAAACAATATAAGTCAGAAGGGACACAAAGAAGCCGAATTTCGTTTTGTCTGATTTCTTAAATTTAAATAAACTGTAAGTCAGATTTTCAGACATATTTGCACAAGCAAATCCCTCTGCAGTGAGCCAGAAGTACTGTGAAAATGGTATGTAAATGCTGCTTTGTTTATGGCTTATATGTGTGCAGCACTAGTTCTGGTTTCCTCTGTGGATTGACAGTACAGATACTGCCCCCTGCATGTGTGGAAAGCTTCATTCTCTGTATGTTCTTTATGGCGCAGAAAATACAGTATGTTTTCAAGTTATCTGTGTAGTAGTGATGGGAATTTAGGTTTATTTTACTGACTCAGACCTTTGATTGTCATTCATCAAGATGAAATAATCTGTTTTTGAACTCATTTTATTCAATTAAAATGTTGAGTTTCTTCCAAACACATCTACAGCTAGCCTAAACTCGAAAAAAGAACTAAGCTTCTCCTCCACCTGCAGAAATGTGCACATGCGTGAATGGATCACTGACTGAGAGTGATAGTTCTTGAGTAATTTAAAAGATTCAGTCAAAATGAACAAATCAATCCAGAAGGACCCATCACTACTGTTTAGTGTGTTCAAGCACAGCTTTTTGGTTTAGACAGGACCAGACACAGCTGATGCGAGGAGGCAACTTATTCAGTTTTTGCCACTGCTAGTTCGTTGATGGAGGTTTGGTGTGTCCTAGCACAAAGCATTCTGGGAACTAGAAATCCTCTCTGCTCAGTCAGTTTAAGTTCATTGTAAAAATCATAATCTTTTACCTAATGCCATAACCTTCGCTACCCCCCTGACATCTTCTTCCCTTCTGGTCAAATGGAATGCCTTTTTGGAGGGGCTGCTAGGGTAGGTCTTGTTTCTGGCTGGTTTTAGTCCATTAGTCCATCCGATTGGATAATTGGAATATTAAATTAAGGTCATCTTTATGTCTATAGCACTTTTACAATGCAGATTGTGTCAAAGCAGCTTTACATTAAAGTTCTAGTAAATTAAAACTGTCAGTCCAGTTTTCAGAGTTGAAATTCAGTTTAGTTCAGTTAAGTGTGGTTTAATTTTCACAATGAAGTGCAAATCCCTCAATGTGCAGCTCCACAAGTCCCAGGATAGGGCTATGCCTTTTAATTAAAAAGTAATTGAAATTGACATTCAGAACATATAATCTAGAACAGGGATGGGCAAACTTGATCCTCGAGGGCCGGTGTCCCTGCAGAGTTTTGTTCCAACACTAGTCAAACACACCTGAACAAACTAATCAGTGTCTTCAAGATAACTTGAACTCTATAGGGAGGTCTGTTTGAATAGGGTTGGAGCTAAACTATGCAGGACACTGGCCCTCCTGGATCAAGTTTGCCCACACCTGATCTAGAAACTAATGTTTCCAGGACGATTTTTTCAATTACTTTCCCTATGTGTCATTATGATCCCGCTCTGTTAAGGGCTGTGGCTGATTTCTACATCTGCGGCCACTTTGCCACATCTGATCTCTGGCCAATTAGGACGATGTACTCATTCTTGAGCCTCTTTGCATTACATTGACGATGACTGGAAGCTGCGCCAGAGATACCCTTAGACAGCATATAAAACTTTTCAGTGCAAAACAAAATATATGAAATAAAATAAAAATAATCATAATCAAGTTAAAATGTTTAATAGATTTTAGGACAAATCATCCAGCCCCTCCCAGTATATGAGGAATTCAATTTCTCAATATTCCTCCATTTTGTATGTAACACACCCATCTTCCAATTATCCAATCAGTTTCCAAAGGACAAATTTATGCCCCACCCTTCATTTCTTTTACCTTATTGGACAGTTTCAATCAAATGTAAGCTACCATATGGGAAAAAATTGCAAGCTTAACTTCCGAGCATCTTGCACCAATCATTTTTGAGTTCTAAGTTCATATAACTTTTTGAGTGCAGTTACCTCATTTTAGTTTTACAGTACACCAACGACAAATACAAAAAATCTCGTTTAAACAAGTAGTTTTTTTCTCTCATTCTAGGCTGGCTAAAGGATTCCACTGGCACATACACAGTTTCCTTTATCGCCGCTGGAAGTTTCCTCATGATAGGTATGCTAATTGCAATGACTCTTCCTTATTTTTGGTCTTGCACGGCTCCTCCAGCTCCTTCACCATCAAAGAAGAAATCTCAGGAAGGCTCTGCTGAAGACGGACTAATCGGAGAGTCTACATCCTCTAATGCTATAAATGAAACGCTGTGCTCCGTGGATCATATACCCTACTCAGATGAGGAGGTAAAGGTCTGTTTAAGCAATGATGCTACACATTCAGTGCAAGAACAAGAAGAAATACCTCAGGAAATGACGCATCGTTCTAATTTTGCATAAATATTGTGATTTTGTTAGCGGTGGCGAGCTTTATAGTCGTTTATTTGACATGATGTCAGATAGGATTTGGCATTGGAATATTAGTTGTGTTATTTTTTTTTTGCAGTTCATTTCTTAAGTACATGTTAATAAGATTTTCACAATGCCACTAAAATCTGTGAGGACAATCAAACTAAGTTTTGGAGTTTCAAAAGCAGCAGTCACTTTACGTCTATATGTTAACTTATGTCAGATCTGCTTATATTTATAATTTCTTAAGTTGACACGCAGCATGGTAAAACCATGATATGCAACAAACTTTGTGCCAAAAAAACCTAAATAAAAGGACAATATCAGCATACATCCTCATCATTCCTGTATCTTTAGTAATCTTGCTGTTCTTTTTGATTACATAACAATGCTAGTACAGAGCTAGCACAGATATCACAGTCAGATTAGTGGTCAGTGATATAAATTTTAGTATAATGAGACGCTATTATTATTATATTTAATTGTAATATATTTTCTGTTTCCATGTTAATATTTTAGTTTCAATGCAAAAAGATCCCAAAGTTAGGATTTGTACTCCTATTGTCCAAAGACTTCATTTGGCCATGTCTGTTTCGTAGTATTTGGAGGATATTGTACAGTATGGCATATATCAGACACCACCACACTGTACCGTTGCTCCACCACATTACTTTTTCTAAGAGCATGCTGGCAGAAATGCTATTTATTTATAAATGACTTCTATAATATAGTAATTAAAGATATTTTGTAAGTCATTGTGATATATCTGACCTCAAACAGGAAGCTGATGTGTACGTGTACATCTTTAGGTTTGGGTGAAATAATTTACGTTTGTGGTTTATGTTGCAGTTACTGAGGGGCTTTTTGTATTCATGACTAGTGAGGGCTGCTAGCAAGAGCTTGCTAGTCACTAAAACAAGCTTTAAATGCTTAGTCATCGTGTTTCTGAAATGTTGTCACATCAGGCTATATAGCATGAAGGCAAAATATCTTCTTTAGCCAGTAATGTTGCAAGATGCTCTTCAGGTAAAAGGGCAGGAAGGCCAGTTAATTGCTAACTCCACAATTAGAATTCTGCTCCTTATTCTGTTACTCTTTTACACAGTTTTAGCTAAACTGTGATTACTGAATAACGTGCTTTGTATTACCAACATGACATAGATGTTGTTTACTTTGCTCACTTGCTAGATTACAAACAAGCTAACTGCTCAGAGGTTATCACTTCACAAAGCTAAGGTGAAAAGCACAACTATTTCTTGTTTTGTGCTAGTTTTTGTACTCTAGTAATAGCTTGTAAAACAAGCTAAATGCTGTTAGGTACAAGGCTAATCCTGTTCTGCTCTTTGTGTAATGATTACACTTTTTTTTGTACACACACACACACACAACATGCATTGATTTAGCTGGTCTGCTCCTACATTGCATTTAGAAATAGGATGATCAAACTATGAACTTTGGGACATTGTTGCAGATGTTTTTTTTGGCTAGTGAAAACTGAGGGCTTGTTAGCAAAAACTTGCAACATTTAAAACAAGCTAACCACCTTAAACATTACATATCAGACATATTGTCACATTAAGCTAAGACAAAGGCAAAAACAACTTTGCTAGAGGTTAGTATTTGCAAGCAGTATAGCAAACTGTACATGTAAACGACAGTTAGCTAGTCTGGTGCATATGGAGAAATATGATTGATAGGCTTTGCATTACTAGCTAATATAGACTTCATTTTAACTAGGCTCTAGTCATCACATATCATATTGTCACTTGAAGCAATAGCTAAAATAAAGGCACAAGAAATTCTTAAACCTGTATGTTTAGTGCTAGAGGGTAGAAATACCAATAAAGGAAGGAATGAGGATGGGCTAAATGCTAACACCTTCAGCCCAATATTATTTCATTTCTTGCACACCACTGACCTTAACTTCAGCTCAACTGTTTTTGAGTTGTTTATCAAGAAATATGATATTTGAAAAAGGTTATGGTGTCATGGTGGCTCAATGGTTAGCTGTCACCTCACAGCAGAGTCCCGGCTGGGTCAGTTGACATTTCTGTGTGGAGTTTGCATGTTCTCCCCGTGTTCACCTGGGTTCCTCCAGGTGCTCCAGTTTTCCCCATAGTCCAAAGACTTGTGCAATAGGCAAATTGAATAAACTAGATTGGCTGTAGTGTATGTATGTGAAAGAGTATGGGTGTTTCCTATTGCTGGGTTGCAGCTGGAAGGGCATCTGCTGTGTAAAACATATGCTGGATAAGTTGGCAGTTCATTCCGGTGTGGCAACCCCCCTGATAAATAAAGGAACTAAGCCGAACGAAAGTGAATGAGTGAATGAATATAAAAGGTTATATGTGTTGCTAGCATTGACATTAATGTGTTGTTTGGCCAGTAAACCCTGAGGGCTTCACAGTAATCAAGTCAGGTATGTGTGACATTAAGCAATAGCTAAGACAAAAGGAAAATATTTACACAAACAAGCAAGTTGGCTTTAGAGGCTGCATGGTAACTGCATTCATATGAAGCTAATTTAATATTATGTCACTGTTTTGCACATAACATACATTTGATTTCAGCTGGCTTGTTGATAGTCATGAAAATGATGACTGAAAGATATACTTTTTGGTACTAAAACAAAGTAATTTAGGCCACTGAAACCACAAGAACTGTTAGCAGGAACTTGCTATGTTGAAAATAGCAGTTAGCAATATTGCTATTACTAATTAATTGCTATTTTCGACCTACGAGTTTTAACAGCTCTTGTGGTTTCACTAGAAAGCTAAATGCTAATTTCAAAAACTTATTCTGTTCTTCTCCTTGTGTTGAGCATTATTCTTTTTTCCTTTTTGTCTAAGCTGGTCTGTTCTTGCTTTTGGAGAAATGTGATGATTGAATTAATGTACTTTGTATTTACCAGCACTGTTGTATATTGGTGTCATCTTTTCAGTTGCATCATGTAATATTCCAAGCTGTGCATATTTTATAGTATTTTTGAAGAGAATATTGTGTGTTTCACTGTGATCTTCCAGCTCAAAGTCTCAGAGAGATTACTGACATACATTTTCCAGTGTCACTGATTTAAATTCATGTATAAATCATTGACCAAAGTGCTGCACACTAAAGCCTTTATGTTGCACATTAAATTATTTAAAGTGTTTACTGTGCACAAACTGGTGTAAGTTTAGTCTTGCTAATCCTCTGCTTCCCATGGGAAACCCTTCAATAGTCAATGATGTTTTAAGACGCACTCCTTATAACACCAAACACGTGAGCCTTAATCTCCATAGACCGAGTCAATGAGCTCTGCCACTGCCAGACTTTACTTTGTTTAAAGACTTGACTTTCTCATGTCTTTCTCATGACTGTTATTGCCTTCAGATGCACTGTAGTTATGCAGTTTTACAATGCAGTTTGGCCTGTAGATGTCATTTTGCCTCAGTACAGTCTATCTCCAAATAACATTTAGCAACATTTCATCATCTGACCCTTTGAACTTTATAGCTTTACGCTGTGCAGGTTGACTTTTGATCTAATTTAAAGGTTGAAAAGACCTCACTGTGCGAGCCAATCGGGTAGTTTCACCTTTTAGCACAGTACCAGCCAACATCATGTGCCTGTTACGCTTTATTTTTCCAGGAAAGCACATAACAAGACAGCTGGGTTTTATTGGAACAATGTTTTAATGTGGTCAATAAAAATGCTATGTCTGTTTTCTACACTTTATTTTTTGTCTTGTCTTTTATTTTTGAGATAGGGGGCTTTTGTATTTTCAGCTTCTTCCTCTTTAGTCTCCAATGGAATTCCTCAGAGATTAATCTGTGATGATGTCAACAATCTGAAACATTGTCAGTGTTAAAAATCTTTGTGTTACTTTTTCTCGATGTATAGAAAGTTTAAAAATTTTGTGGTTATTTGATTTATTTTCAAAATAGTAGCTCTACTGTCATTTTCTAACAGTTAAAGGTGCAGTAGGTGATCTGCCAGAATGCTAGCATTAGCATGATAGCTTAGAAATTTTACCTCCCTCCCCTGCCATCCAAAGCCATGACTTCATTAAGTCATGAACGCGCACCAGTTAGATATCACACTAGACCATGTCATTCACCAATTAGAAAACTCTATGGAGACTAGCTCTTTATTAAGCATAGTTATTGACAGTCCTCAAGAATCAAAATCAAACTTCACCTCAGCAAGGCTAGTTAGGTGGAAGAGCACTATTTACTTGTTTTGTTATTAGACTACATAAAAATTAGATCAGATAAAAGGAGTGCTAAAAACAGAAACACTTCCATGCATATAAACTCATTCATAAACAACAACACAGTCTACAAACTGTGACATATAGACAGTCTACATAAGTTTTGCGTGGCTAAAATAGTTTTAAAACATACTCGTCTTAAAGAAATACATCCGTGGTGTCACCCTTCAGATCATTGTTTTGAACTGCATAACGTCATTTCCCTCCAGCGTACAAAAGTAATTACGATATTAATTCAGGGTTTAGAAAAGTTTTGATTCTGCATTTTTGGCAGAAGCCCTTTCAGAAACATTCTTTCTTTTCATTCATACAAGGCCACGTTGGTCTTTCAGAAAGAAGTTCAGGTTGATGCAGAGTTTGCCAGATGACGTCTCTCTGTTAGCTGTAGATTCTACACATGTACGAGCGAGTGACATACGTCTGCTTAAAGACACGAAAATTGCTAAAATTTGCTAATGCGCTAAAATTACAATTTGTTGACAGTTTGAGATACCTGTCTTAATTGAGATATTTGTCAGGCCGACATTTTGTATGTTGTGGCTGGAAGGGCATCCGCTGCGTAAAAACGTGCTGGATAAGTTGGTGGTTCATTCCACTGTGGCGACCCCAGATTAATAAAGGGACTAAGCCAACAAAAAAATGAATGAATGAATGAATACTGCATGGGTTTAATAAGCTAAATTGTTTTCTGATATCTACATAGTAGGTTAAAGGCTTCGGTAAGCTCAAAAAATATACAGAAGCGGTTTAATAAGCTAATTAATTACTCAAAAAATGTCCATAAAATCAGAAGGCCCATGATTGACCATATATGGCTTGTGTCGTGAATATTATTGCGCTCAGCTCTGACTTAGCACACGCTCAGCAGGATGTACGCTGAACACGGACCGTTATGAACGTTATGAACGACCGTGAATGAACGTCGCCTCGTGGTTCCATCCCAAAGAGGGAAAAAATCACTTTCGCGAACGCTCACGCTCAATCTGCCCAGTTGGTGGAATGAACTCCCTAACTGCATCAGAACAGCAGAGTCACTCGCTATTTTCAAGAAACGACTAAAAACTCAACTATTTAGTCTCCACTTCACTTCCTAATCTGCAATTGCCTCTTTGAATATCACACTAACTGTACAAAAAAAAAACAAAACAAAAAAAAACTAATACTTCCCTTCTTAGACTTGACAGACCTGAAACCTGCCTTTAGTACTTATTCATTGTTGCTCTTAGTTGTGTAAATTGCTTCCTTGTCCTCATTTGTAAGTCGCTTTGGATAAAAGCGTCTGCTAAATGACTAAATGTAAATGTTATAAACCCAATCAGAGTAAAGTTAACCTGTTTTGCTCTGGATAAAAGCTAACTAATAATAAAACTTGCCAACAGAGAGTGATAGAGATGTATCTTGTTGTATTTTTAAGCTATATTCAAAGAAAACACAGCCGAAACAGATGACAGTTGAGCTGAGTGATTTGACACGATTCAGCAGTCTACAGTGTCTGTTGAAACAAACGCATTAAATTTCACAATAATCATGATAAATTACCAAAAGATGTAACAAAACATACCATATGGCTCTTCGGAGTGGAAATGAATATTGTATAATCTGTAAATCTTGCCTTTTGCGTCCCTGAGGCCAGTTTTTGAACGTGCCTCGTGCTGTTGTTGCCCAGTAACGCACAGTAAATAAACTGCCGCATGTTTTTAAAATAAAAGTCCCAGAAACATAGTAGGTGAAAAGCACGCTTACAAATAACTAAGGGAGGAAAATTTTCATTATTGTCTCACTAGAAACACAGATTTTCATAATAGGCCACCTTTAAAACAAACATGGGTTCTTGAAAGGACTTCAATTTAAAGGTTATGGTGTTAATTCAACAAATGTACTGTGCTGCTGTCAAAAACTGAACAAAAAAAATAGAATTTTTTTATTTAAAAACATTACATTTAAGTCTTGTAAAAAAAAAAACAATGAAATAAAGCTCTTTTTATTAATATTTCAGAAACCCATTTAAATATTACTAGTATTGCATTCAACAAATTTCAATAAATTCTTTTGAACATGATTGTTTAAAATGGTCAACATTTTTAATGACATCTAAAACATCATTAATATGACATTTTTTTATGTAAATAAGTACATGAATGAGTTTTATGGGGGTGCACATGCTAGTTGTGTGAATTACAGGATCTTGATCTAAAAATTGAATCTGATGTTCATGAACGTGTGGGAACCCTGACTACACTAAACATTTGAATGGTTTAGCATTCATATAAGTCATTGCAAAATCCTTGTTGTCCTAGTTGACCAGTAGCATAGCTTAAAAATACAAGTGAGTCATTTATTATATGAATCATTTATTTAGTTACATATTATACCATTTCATGGTATTTCAATTAACAATGTGGCGTACAAAATACACCAATTAACCAATTTCAAACATATTTTGGTCTTATATAAAGAAAAAAACTGAAATAAAATTATACTGGAGACCCAAGCAGACAGGGCTCTCTCACCCAAAGGAACATTTACATTCAAGTTGCAATAACACTGTGGCTCACAATATGGTGAATGAAAAGATGCGCATCAAATCATTTGAATAAGGTTAATTTCAATGCTGTTTAAATTAAAAACATACTCCACCATTTTTCTCAGCTTTGCTCCACTTGTTGCTTTCATCGCTTCTGATGTGTAAACTTACTCAAATGATGAAGGTCAAAGCGAAGTAGCCTAATAACGACTGTGCCTGAAAAAATAACTGACCTAAACTAAGCCTAAGCTGGGATAAATATGCTAAAACCCAGATATTTAGACCCACGCTCATGTAGTAGGCCAGATAAACCGAATGAAGCAGCGTTTCATAAGAGGTGTTTACTGTGGAATGTGGGAACTTCATTGGGTCTGCTGGAGCCTACGTGTGTGTGTGTGTGTGTGTGTATTGATGAAACACTGACATCTGCTGCTCAGCCGCTTTATTTCATATCGGCACTACGGCGCTTCAGCTTCTCCGGGTTGTTGGAGGCCATTTGGGAGAAATCCCTGAAGATATCGTGATAGGTGTCATCACCTGCAGAACGAAATCATGGAGAAAGAGGTAAAGGGATTATTAGTTGAAGGTTGTCAAGGGAAAACCAAGCATAAGTCTGCAGACCAATCTTCCCGCCAAAACACATATGACGCATTACAATCATAGAGAGGGTAAACACAAAATGGAGAAATTTAAGAGACATGTTTGCTTTTTTACCTGAGCTACTTTTAATTTGAGAGCAGAGTTTTAGGACATTTTGATTAGAAATGGAAAGGATGCAAGGCAAATGTATGGAAGCCTAAAAGGGTCAGAATTCATCTGTATTGTACAACTGTTTCATACTGTAAAATCATTGTCTCCATAAAATAATATGGAAGGTAATCAGGGCAAGTCTCTTTCAAATAAAGTTGACTATCCCATGATTAGTATGACTGTCTGTGTGTCAATCACAACAGCCAATGAAATCGGTGTAATTTAGTCCATATTTGCATATGATGCACATATTTAAACATCAGACATTATATATTCCCTTCCATAAAAACTGTTGCCCCACATTGGACAGCCAAATGCATACAAAAGAAACATACTGTCACATTCCATTTTCATAATGGCATGGCAAAGTTTGTAAGGCACTACTACAGAACTGATCAATTCGGACTCTTACAGCTTTCCATATGTTTAGTTTGCATCTTTTACAGCATCTCTTGTATGACATAATGGCTGCGCCTGAAATCACTTACATCCATGCTATATAGTACTTAAAAAATTGATAGACCTAAAGTATCCGGATGACTTTCTGTGAGATTCTGAAGTGCGTATTCAATGAACAATTTACTGTCAGGCAATGTCATGCGAGAGAATTTATCTATGTGATAATAACCAACTGACAGATACGTCTGAAATCCATTTACTATGCTCATATTCATATCAAGAACATACTTTCTTAATGGCCATGAAGTAAATTCAACAGGATTTAGGCACAGCTAGTGTTTTTTCAGCCAATGATATGCTTCCGGTGAAAGGTTTATGTGACTTTTAAATTTCATCAGGTTCCTTTAACAGCATCGATGTTGTAATGTTATCAAAATACAACCAGTTAAACAGATTTAAGCATTCATTTAATTGTTCAAGCGTAAAACTAGATGAAAGACTGTGTAAATGTTAACGCCGTCAGTAGCTGCACGCTAGCACTAAAAACTCCTTTGAAAAATACTGGGGTAACATTAATGTTCATATTTTAAAGACATAGCGCGGAAAAGAATTTATGGAGTGCTTCTTCCGGTCTGAGACCCACTTTATACCGTATATTTCTCAGGCAGTGAAGATCACTCATTTTTAAAGAAATCGGACCTTAAATGTGTCGATATTGTAATGGAAACACAATTTTCACTGGAAGCGCTGAGGCTGACTAACTGAAAATGAAAAGTCTATGTGCATATATCCCATTAAATATGGTAGGCTACCTACTTTAGTGGTATGTGACTCTCGATGAAGCTCATGTTCTAAAACTGCTGCTCTCAAGTTAAAATTAGTTCCATAAAAACGAACACCTCAACATGAATAAACAGCATGTCTTTGCATATTAAAACTGACTGCTGTTTAATTATTGCATACTATTAAGAAATATACGTACTGAAATGATTCATGTAAAAATAAAATTAAAACAACAACCAGTGAAAATAAAATTTCTCTCACAACAAAGACAAAGACAATGGCACCATAATCCCAAGTGGAAAGAGAGCAATTTTTGCATAAAGCGTTTCCCCATTCATCATTGGAGGTTGAATAAAAGCATGCTGAAATAAAGCCAGAATAAAAACACAACACAAATATTTCCATATTAACTGTTTTCTGCCCATGGAAAACCTTTATAAAGAAAACCCACCAGGCTTTAATGCATTCAAACCATTAATACTGGTGATGCAGCCAGTTACTTTCATATTCATGATTCATCTGCTTATAGATACACTATATATATATATATATATAATAAACTGAAAACTTATTGTGGCCTGTTTATCATAATTTCCCTCATCCATGATGTATTTTCTTTATAAAGGTTATTCACTACCATTCACAACAAGAACAATAACCATAAAGATGATTGGTTGCACTTCATTTTACAGTATGTGTACTTACAGTGTACTTACATACTGTATTATATAAGAACAACATGGGCTAGGTTAGGTATAGGGTTATGTTAAGGGACATAATCTATATTTCACACCGTTATTGTAATGAAATTGATAAGTGCATAGTATGTACAAACATAACAGGACTGTAAAATAAAGTGCTTCCATATTATTATAACTATATAAACATCTACACCAATGGACGACAACATTGTCGCCTGAATCACAGTTGCACATTTGCAATTGTACATACATGCTGAAGCTGTGGCGATCAATAGTTTGACAACTTGATTCCGCATCAATGCAGAAATTTCTCTTGAGTGGATTTTGAGTTTACTTTTACAACAGCAGATGGCACTGTAGGCTAGTTTTTAATCATACACTCAAACGCTAAAGAGAAAGAGCACTTGGACTTTCATTCAGTAAAGTCTAGATAGGATACACGGCCAGACGGACATGTGAGTTGATAAGATATGCACGACAATGTTTAATATTTTTACAGTACTGTGACGGTTGGGTTTAGGGTTGGGGTGGGGGTAGGCATTAACAAAATACAATTTTTAGGGTAATTTAATAAATAACATAAATAATACTCAGTACAACTATGGTTTTTACAGTAGTGTGACACTTGGGTTTAGGGTTAGGAATGGGATCGGGGTGGACGGAAATTTAATAAATAATATAAATAATTCTGGTTTACTTCTGGCCACAACCGTATCTGATCTAGCAACAACCCTTTTATTCAACGAGTCATGCAAATTGGCTTTTATGGCAGAAAATTAATGTAAACACAGCTCACTTTTAACACTCTTGTGATTCCCTTTCCTCGCTTTATTAAAAATTATTTTAGGTTCAAGTGGTATACGTAAGGAATTGGATGCAAGCACAGATTGTCTCTTTGTAAGGCATACAGTGCCTTTCACCGTTAAAACCCAAGCTCAGAATCGATTCAAGAGAGAATAGTGATGTTTTTTTGAACATTTCTGAATTGACGCAAAATCGATTTTCCGCCACAGCTTTGTAACAGCAGCTGTTACGCATACATATAGTGGTACGGTAGCAGGATTACCTGTAGCAGGCAGTGCAGAGGACACACACTGCAAGCGGTAGACACCTGGCCACCCGTCTCAGGACACACACACACACACACACAAACACACACAAACACAGACAGCAAAAACTAGTTTGTATACAGAGACACAGACAGATGGACAAACTGCCATAGAGAAGGCCCGCAGCAAAACAACAGATGCAAAAAGCATAAGCGTGGCAAGACAGCACACCTGTAAACATCTGGCACTGCGACAAGAGTATCAGATTTAGAGAAGCACAGTTCAGCTCCTTTTCAGATTAAAGAAGCCGAATAGAAAATTCAACGTGATCATGTTGAAATGATCATCAGGGACTGGAGTTTTGTTAACTGTAAACATGTTGGTTGATTGTGATGATACCCCATACAATGCCAAATATCAACCCTAAAAACAGCTGAATCATTTAAATTAAGGAATTACTAGTGCTTGCAAGGCAGATGTTTTACATCTTTGGTATGATTAGAACGACAGATTGATAGATTGTTAGCCCAAAATCTTAAGCCCTCCTGTGAAATTAAATTCTTTTTCAAATAATTTCCAACTGCTGTTTCAAGATCAAGGACATTTTCACAGTATTTTCTATAGCATTTTTCTATCTTCTGGAGAAAGTCTTATGTCTTTTTTTTCCTGGAATAAAAGCAGTTTAAATGTTTCATAATAATTGTTAAGGTCAATATTTTTTTAGCCCCCTTAATAATCATATAATATAATCATAATATATATTTTTTGATTGGCCACAGAACAAACCACTGTTATAGGTTGTTTTCACATGATGTCACTGATGACACACACAATTCAGTTGGAGGGCGGGAAGTGATTCTTCTACATAGGAATCGCTGTCAGAACATCTACATGTTTCTGTTTTATGTTGTTAATAATTGTTTAAATCGATCATAATACAAAATGCAGAACAGCTTTTATAGACTTCCAAAAGTTTCTGCTCATAATGAGGGAAAAGTTTAAGAAACTGGCTGAAAAACGGAAGAAAATATGGCTTGTAATAACAAAAATTTCAATACATCCATGTGTGCAAACTTTTTTTGTAGGTGATGATTCTTTTTTGACAGCACCAATAAAGATTGCATACAGGCCTAGCTATGTGTTTAAATATGTTTATGTTGTAGAAAAATCAGATACAAACACCACCACACTTATACAAAATCCAGGAGAATATAAGTAATGCACCCTGCCATGCTGTTATGAAATCTCTGTCTTGTTTTGCAATACAGTAATCCAAGTCTTTACTGGCGTTTCAGCAGAATAAACAACCGTAACGTGAACATTGAGACGCACAGCAGCGGTGAATGTTTAGTTAAGGAAATTCAACCCTTGCGACAAAACTCGACGGTTATCGTGGAGCACTTTTGCCCCCTTACAAAAATAAATTAATAATAATGTAGACTATGCGTCCATGCTTTTTATGCTTTCATCTGTTATTTCGTAATGTCTGGAAGATATCCGCAAGGAGAAAAACTTTATTAATATATAATAAACCTAGTAAAGTGTGTAATGTGTATAACAACTCTTTTTTAATGTATGTAAACTGATCAACTGTAATAAATACTGTAATGTTAGTGTAAACTGTGCTTCATTGTGATGGTGTAAAATTATAAAAAACTAAAGCCTATTCAAAAATTTGTTGATTACTACAGTTGTGTTGTACCACAGCAACAACATAAATACTACGACAGTTTAATTCAAGTAAATATCTATAGCATGTTTCCAAACACTATGGTATTTACTACAGTATTTTTCATGTAACGATGTAATCGCTTATACAGTATCTACTGCCTCGATGACAGGCAAATATATTTTAGTTCAGTTGAAAACCCAGCCCTCTTCATGGTACAAGGATCATGCCCAACATATGTGCTTATTTTCTATTTATATCTCTTTTGAAATATGGTATAAATCACAAAATTACTGACTTTTCTCTATCGCTGCGTCCGAAACTGCATACTTCCATACTATATAGTACGCTAAAATCAGTATGCGAGCCGAGTAGTGTGTCCGAATTCATAGAATTCAAAAATCAGTATGCGAAAAGTACCCGGATGACTTACTACTTCCAGCGAGATTCTGGAGTGCGCATCCCATCCACGCTGTGCTATCCCATGATGCCCCGCGAGCAAATTCATGAATGGGAGTGAAGCGATGCAAATGACGCAGGTAGGTCGCGTGACCATGACAAAATGGCGGATGTGGTACGTCCGAATTCCATTCATACTTTTCACATTCATACTGTATAGAACATACTTTTCTAACGGCCGAGTAGTACGTTTACATTCAAATGCAGTATCTACTGAGTAGTAGGCGGTTTCAGACGCAGCCTATGTCTCCCAATCAGTTTTTTACTCCCTGCCCTCCATTTACTTCCTGCCCACCATTTTGCACGTCACCAGAACGACGTGATTGAAAACAACCTATTTACTGACCTTCCTAGTTAACCTAGTTAAGCCTTTAAATTGCACTTTGAGCTGAATACCTTGCAAAATAATTAGTAAAATATTGACAAATTATACAAAATTTCAAAGGAGGGTTACTAATTTTGTCTTCAACTGTAGGTCAGTGGAAGCTATATAGTTAAAATTTATGTAGTTCAAATTGCATAAATATAAACCCAGTAAACTTTGAAGAAGAAAAATAATTAAAAGTCAGCAAATTTCAAGATAGTGTTGACTTGCAAGCACTGTAATTACAAGAAGCTGAGTTTACATTATGCCAAGTAAAAATTGCAATGCCTATTCCATACCTGCCAACACTTTTTCCCAGGAGACCCATCACCCAGCCCCCTTCTGTTTTGTTATTTCTCCCAGAAAACTCTTGTAATTTCACCCTGCCTCCTCAGCTTTTTGGTATAGTCTGTTAACAACCCCAGGTCGCCAACTTGGGTATCTGATTGCAGCGGCCACTCGAAACCATTCCATAGTACTGTGGTTACTAGCACCACAGTACAGTTACTAACCCAGTTCTCGACTATGTTATTCAGACAAACACACACTATAAGCCCCCCTTCCTGGTAGTTCCCAAATTTCAGAGACAAATGTTGGCAGGTATGGCCTATTCAGATCTCACAACACATGAATTAAGACAAACAGAGCTATTTGCAGTATGCTTTAAATTAAAAAAGAAAGAAAAGACCCTCTACATTCCACTTCAAACATTTGTAATAGCTTAATGCACACCAACTAGATCCGTTTACACATATACTGTCACAGTACTCATGCAAAACCATCCTTGGTACCAATAATACCAATACCCACCCATAAAAACTACTATACATAATTTGATCAAAAGGACCACAGGTATAAAAAGCACTGAAAATGATATCCTTTTACACAGTGCTTGTTTTAGTGTTGATACGGTTCTTTAACACTGTGCAGTGTTAACAGTAAACTAATATTAAAACGTAGTGTTTTCTATTAACATTCATTGTTTTAAAGTGCTTCACCACAGTGCACCACAAGTCAGTTTTCCTTTGTTTTGTCATCTAAAATGTACACGCCAGGTTCGTTCAGGTTGTCCGACCACTCAGCTGATTCTTGATGGTCTGAAAGCCTTTTTTAGTTTGTCCTATCACAGAGCCCATCCCGCCCCCAACACCACCAGAGCCCCGCCCCTCAGAATGACCTGATGGAGTGCCGTCCATCTCCCGCATCTCCTTGTTCATCTTGGCTATCCGGAGTCTAGAAGGGGAAAAAAGCACAGCGCTTGATTGTTAATCGAGTTACTCGCAGGAAGCACCTCCTCATATATGTACTGTAAGCTAATTAGTGTGCTTTCCTAAGAGCACTTACAGCGTGACGATGTCAGCGTTGGCATTATCAATGGCTATACCGATTGGGTCCTTTTCTTCAATGTCTTTTGCGTTGTAGTCCGCTCCTCTCTTGAGAAACAGACACACTAACCTGTAAAAACACACACAGATATGTTAGGTCTTAGAAATGGGTTTAAATCTATGATTGTGTGTGTGTTAATTAGAGCTGAGTGTTGATACAGATTTTATTTGATTATTTTTTTTCAGATTTTGAAACTGTATTTGAGTTGATTCGGATTCAAATATTTTGCACACAAGCTACTTTTTGCATACAGTTTTCAAGGATGGCTTTTAACATATGTGACAATAAATATACATTTTAATACACATTAAAGGGATAGTTCACTCAAAACTGAATACTGATTCACTTTTCACAAACAACTTTGAGTTTATTCCTTCTGTTCACTAAAGACTTTTTTTTTTAAATGTGAAAACCTGTAACTATTGACTTCTAAAGAATTTGTTTCTGTCACTGGTTACAGGTTTCTAACATTTTTCAAAATATCTTCTTGATATCTTCTTGACTTTAAGATGTGAATACATATTTCACTGTTTATTTTGACCATTATTTTTGGTGCAAACTATCCCTTTAACAGCGTGCCCCAAATGATTCAGTTAATTTTTTGATTCTTAACATATATAATAATATAAAACAAAACCAAAAACTGTTGTGTGGATTCTAACTGTAGTAAACTTTTAAGCAAAAACGTCATAACCAAGGCTGGTTGTGATGTATTCATCATAAAGAAGCGATTTTAAAGTTTCATTTTGTCTGTGAACTGGAATCTAGTTGTTTATTGAAGTAAACTTTAAATTGCATTTATTATGTACCCACGCCAATGCGAGGAGAACATGCCAAATGACCCAGACGGGGCTTGAGCCAGTGACCTTCTTGCTGTATATATATATATATATATATATATATATACAGCATATATATGTATATATGTATATATATATATATAGTTGAAGTCAGAATTATTAGCCCCCCTGAATTATAAGTGCCCCTGTTTATTTTTTCCCCAATTTCTGTTTAATGGAGGAAAGATTGTTTTAGCGCATTTAAGCATAATAGTTTTAAAAACTTTCTTCTAATAACTGATTTATTTTATCTTTGCCATGATGACAGTAAATAATATTTTACTTGATATTTTTCAAGACACTTCTATACAGCTTAAAGTGACATTTAAAGGCTTAACTAGGTTAATTAGGTGAACTAGGCAGGTTAGAGTAATTATGCAAGTTATTCTATAACGATGGTTTGATCTGTAGACTATCGAAAAAAAATAGCTTAAAAGGGCTAATTTTTTTTTTTTTAATTCAAAACTGCTTTTATTCTAGCCAAAGTTTAATCATTTAAAGTATTTTTTAGTTATTTATTAATTACGTCTAAAACAAAAGTGATTTTACGTAAGTTTCAATATCTGAAATTAGCAGAGTTATTCAGAGAATAATCAACAGTTATTCAGAGAGTTTTCAGAGAAATTGCTGACACTCCTAATTTTCGGTATTAGATTGCATCTGAAAAGCGTCAATAATATTTAATATTTCATTTGATGCTAAATTACTTTGCACTCTACATCATTTTGGATAAGCAAAAGCTCTGATTTCTTAAATAATTCTCAGATAAATTCTACATGTAGCTCAACACAGAGCTAAATGTTTAATGCAAAAACATCAAGAAGACACCCATCACATCAGTACTTTAGGCACATGTCAATAAAACCTTTTTTTTTTAGCTTGATCGCGGAATAATTTAGGTGTAATTAAAATGGCTCTGATAGCAGCAAGGAAATGCATAGATTTATGATGAAAATCAGTAACTTTCGTCTTATGTTAATTCATTTTCTTTTCGGCCTAGTCCCTTTATTAATCTGGGGTCACCACAGCGGAATGAACCGCCAACTTAACCAGCATATGTTTAATTCAGCGGATGCCCTTCCAGCTGCAACCCATCACTGGGAAAGTCTTATGTTCATGTTGAAAGAAAAAAGTCATTCATGTTAGAAAAGATTGGGGGCACATTTGCTGAATACATAAATAATTTGGACATTACATTGACTGAAAATGCTAATGGGATAATGTGACTCCTCTTTGCTTTAATCTTTTATTTGTTCTTTCATTTTCCTTCAACTTAGTCCCTTTATTCATCAAGGGTCACCACAGCGGAATGAACTGCTAACTTTTCCAGCAAATGTTTTACACAGCGTATGCCCTTCCATGCTGCAACCCTGTACTGGGAAACATCCATGCACACTCATTCACACACAAACACTACAGCTGATTTAGTTTATTCAATTCACCTACAGCGCATGTCTTTGGACTGTCGAGGAAACCGGAGCACCCGGAGGAAACCCACGCCAACACGGGGAGAACATGCAAACTCCGCACAGAAATGCCAACTGACCCAGCCGGGACTCAAACCAGCAGCCTTTTTTGCTGTGAGGCGATCGTGCTACTCACTGCATCACCCTTTTATTTGTCACCATTGTTTATTTATGCACTTGTTTATTTCCTCTTATTTTACACATCAGCTCAAGGTCTCACAATGATGTCCATTCAAGTGTTCTGTCTGGTGAGGGTGGGACTGGGGTGGAGGGTGGTTAGAAAAAAATGTTTACATGCATATTGAAATGATTCTGTAAATTGTAAATGCGAAAATAATAAATATTTTGAAACTTTAAAAAAATTATAAAAAAACTTTTATATTTTAATAAAATTTTATATTTAAAGTCTTGAACATGCTGTATATTTGTGCGGACCATTAAATCATGCTTACCTGCTATTGTTCAGCAGTGCACATCATTGGCATTCATTCAATACTGCAAAATGAAACCTATAACTTGTGAAATAGGCGGTTCATTCCACTGTGGCGACCCCAGATAAATAGGGCACTTAGCTGAAGGAAACTGAGCTTGTGAAATCACACTTATTTGCTATGGGGCTGTAAACGCAACTGCAGTAGCATATATTAAACAGCAGGGAGCACCCTGCAGCCACAGCTGAAAAGTGTTGCTGTAGAGCAGCTCTCCTCAATCCAGATCCTTGTGACCAGGATTGGGAAATGCTAAAGTAAGGCAAAAATCTACATTGGGATTTTTAGAATCCGAAAACCTGATTGTTTTACACAGCCCTAGTGCACGAGTGTTACCCTGTATGTCCCAGTATGGTAGCATGGTGTAGTGGTCCTCTCCCGTTTGAGTCCACCTGGTTAACATTAGCGCCGTTCTGTAACAGGAACTCACAGGCTGCCAGAGAATTCTGCAGAGACAAACACACAGTTATTATTCAGCATAACACGCACTCGCACATGAAAAATAAATGACTTTTTACACACTCACAGCAATAACGGCTTGTATTAGTGGTGTTTTGCTGTCTTCAGCCACGTTGACCCAGTTGACATCAGCGCCGTGCGCCAGAGCATCTGCCATCAGAGGGAAATGCTGCATGGAGGCCGATCGATAGAGCAGAGCCCCGGGATGAAGACCGCTCAGATCCTCTTCTTCATTATTGTCTGTACAAAGACAAAAAGAGAGAGAGAGAGGATGGGTTTGTGTGGTCAAGTGGAAGTATGAACATCACATCTGTGAGTGTGTGTTTGTGTTTGTTTGTAACCTTTATGAGAGCCAGAATTGTTCTTCATTATGTCACTTGGAGTCAGGCCTGGAGGGAAAACATCAAACAACAAACAGTCACTGATTAGATCAGCAGCCACTGGAACCGACACTCATTTTCATTCTTTCAGTTTACCAGTGTCTTCATGCGTGGGTCAAGGTTAGTACAGTTTTCAACTGGTTTTAGTTACTGTTGAAATTTTTTAAATTACATTACTCGTTAATGTTTGGAAACATGATGTCTTTTTTATTCATTCATTCATTTTCCTTTGGCTTAATTTCTTATTTTTTAGGGGTCACCACAGCAGAATGAATCGCCAACTTATCCAGCATTTGTTTTACACAGCGGATGCCCTTCCAGCTGTAACCCAGTACACTCATCCACACACACAACGGACAATTTAGTTTATTCAATTCACCCCTGGAGGACACCCACGCTAACACAGGGAGAACATGCAAACTCCACAAGGAAACTGGCCCAGTTTGGACTTGAACCTGCGACCTTCTTGCTGTGAGGTGACAGTGCTAACCACTGTGCCACCTACTTCTTAAAAATTAAAAATAAATTCTTAAATTCTTCTTAAAAATTTAAAAATAAATATTATATATATATATATATATATATATATATATATATATATATATATAATATGTATTTTCCCCTCAATTTCTGTCTAACAGAGAAGATTGTTTCAAAACATTTCTAAGCATAATAGTTTTAATAACTCATTTCTAATAACTGATTTATTTTATCTTTGTCATGATGACAGTAAATAATATTTGACTAGATGTTTTTCAAGACACTTCTATACAGCTTAAAGTGACATTTAAAGGCTTAACTAGGTTAACTAGGCAGGTTAGGGTAATTAGGGAAATTATTGTATAATGATATAGCTTAAAGGGGCTGATAAATTTGACCTTAAAAATGTTTATTATAAAATTAAAAACTGCTTTTATTCTAGCTGAAATAAAATAAATAAGACTTTCACCAGAAGAAAAAAATATTATCAGACATACATTGAAAATTTCCTTGCTCTGGTAAACATTATCTGGGAAATATTTAAAAAATAATAATAATTCAAAGGGGGGCTATTCTTTTCTATTTATTTATTTATTTATTTTATTGCTTACCAAATTTATTTTACTAATGCAATATTTTAAATTGTAATAAAATTTCACAACATTAATATTACCATTAATAATAAATGAAAATGCAGCCATTTGTGACCAAATGAGACTTGTGTTGAGAAAGCCCATCTTTGACTGGAAGTGATCTGTATTTTTCAGTTTACAGGGTTTCTGTAGGCTTCACTAAGTGAAATTTAAGACTTTTTAGGACATTTTTAAGACCATTATGAATTAGATTTTAGACTCATACAGGGCTAAACGCTAAGGAGTTTTTCCAAATGGTCCAGAAGGATTTTTGCCCTATCAAAAACATATAATTTAATACATTTAATAATTCAAAGACAATTCAATAACAACAAATTAAAATATTACATAGCAAAAAAATAAAATTGTGTCAAAACAAACGATCACTAATTGTTGACATACACTTTTTTTCAACAAAAACTTTCTTTAAAAAAAAAAAAAAAAAAAAAGGACAAATGTTTTAAAAGTTTAAAAAACTATAATAAACTAAATGTATGCACAACAGTCTGTCCAGGTCAGTGTCCTCAGCAGTAATAGGGAACATTTTAACAAATATTATTATGAGAAAAATAAATAAACAATTATGGTAAATGGAGTTTAAAAAATGGCATTAAACATGACATTAAATAAAAAGTTTTATTGAGATTGGGATTGTTGGTGATTGTATGGGTGTTGATGGCCAGATTGAGTAGCTGTACATAAAAAAGGGAAATTAAGACCTGTTTACAAAGATTTAAGACCTACAACACAATATTTCAATAAATTTAAAACTTTATTATGCCAAAATTTCTGTTTTTGGGATTTAAGACTTTTTAAGACCTGCTGACACCCTGGTTTAGTTCTTTTCTATACATATTTTAATAAATGATTTAGTTTAATCAAGGTTAGTAAATCAGTTGGAAATCCAACATATCATTTACATCTTTCATAACTTACAGCAGACATTTGAGAACAGACACACAGAGTAGTGCTGCTGTATTGGTTCCAACAATTAATTAAAATGAATTATTTTTCCACTATATTTTGCTTGTAGAAATTGGAATTTTATGACATTTTATTGTATTACATGAAATTGTATTTAACTACATTAATTAATAATGAAAACAAAATAATATATAGAATATATCTGTGTTTGTATAATTGATTATGATCTTGTCCATTTTTGGCAATATATTAAATGCATGGAACAAATGTTAGCAAGCTGTATGCATGTTTGTGTTTGTGTTGTCTGAGATGTCTTGGGTTTAATTAATACCCGTCCATCTTTTTTTTATCAGTAACTTTACTGGCATGTCTTTGCCATCTGCATGTGGGACGTCTGCCTCCACACAGGTCAGATTACCCAATGTTCAGTTAATATTTTACTATTTTAATGTAGTTACATTCAGTTTTGTATTTTACAATAACTATTTCATTTCAGTTTATGAAATCTTTGAAATCAAACAGTGTTCGTGTGTACCGGTGAGTCGTGGCAGTGTGACCCTGCCGGGTTTGGGTTTAAGGGCAGGACGTGTGCAGGGTTTGTCCTCTGTGGTGGATCGGTTTCGTCGGGCACTGGAGCGCCGCAGAATCTGCCCTCGACCAGTCTCTGGGAGCTTGTGGATGAATTTTTTCTCTACATATTTAGAGCGAATCCACGACTCCTTATCTTGCCTGAGAAAACATCAGTCATAGAGAGAGATCCCATTATTAAAGAGTTTCATTGATTCAAAGTAAGTCTGCTAATTAAAAGCCTCACTGCACCTACTATACCTGGGACTAGAGGGGTGAGGCTTCTTGATTGTGATCTCTTCAATACGCGCCTCATAGATCTTGTTAATTGCTGTGTTTCCTAATTCACACATGAGCTGAAGAAAGTGATGAGAAACATTGTCAGGGAAGGAGAAAAATATGACAAGTAAACAAAAACAGATGAAAATTTACACACTGTTTACAACATTTAAGTGGTTTCAAACCTTAATGAGTTTCTACACTATAAGAAGATCACTATAAGATCTTTTGATGAAAACTGAAAACCTGGAACCATTGACTTCAGGTTTCTGCAGGTTTCATCAAGTCAAAAGAGATCAATTTTAGATGTATAGACCTTTTTCTTCATTAGTGCATGGAGGGCGCCATAGTGACCAGAGCCTTCCGGTAGGCTGCTTAGAACTTCTGTTAAAAACTGTCATCAGCGAGAGCAGCGTTTCTCAACTGGATGTCGACTTAAACTTTAATTAAAAAAAAAAAAAGAAAGGTTTTAAAGCCGTTATGCCTCATGTCAGATGTGGTTCAAGTGTAAGTAAAACGCTCTTTTAATTAAGCATCTGCCATCGGATCAGATGCTGAAACACAGTGTCAGTGTTCATGACCTTTTAGTGGGACAGTACAGTAGGCTACGCGTGTGCGTCAACCATTTTGGTGAATTACAATTGTTTTGGTTGGATATATGTTTAGAAGAAAGAGAAAAGTATCACTTTAGCGATGACGAGGGTTCATTTAAATGGCACAAGATGCCATCTGACAATGAGGGAAACATTCCTCACAGCAGTTGTTTTCAATCCCATTAGATTGCATTTTTTCAATAATCAGTCCAGGAGGTGATGCTGATCGACAGCAGTATTAGTTTAAAGATGTTAAAAGAAAGTAAAATAAAATTAAAACTCGTCCCAAAGCTGTTCAAATGTGACTGTTTATACGCATCAGATGCTGACGGGAAGTTCTTAGCATCCTCCTTAAGCATACATGCAAGCATAATTGTTTTAGATTCAAATTTAATTTGGGGGGTTTTGCTAAAAAAAATGTCTAACAGCTGTTGTGAATTGTATTTATTTGCAATAAAAAACTTAAATATAAAAAAATAAGATTTTATTATGATGTATTGTTGGTGATTAGATCAATGTCGGCCCCACTGACTACTTTTATATTGTTTTATTTTTAAATTAAGACCTGTTTAAAATTATTTAAGACCTAAAACACAATATTTCCGTGAATTTAAGACTTTTTAAGACCCAGCAGACATCCTGTTATAGGCAGGTGTGGCAGCTTCTTTTAACGTGGGAAGCTTTTCCAGTGCACGTCTTTTGTTTAGTATGTTGTGATCAGACATACAGTATTAGGAAAATCTTCACAGAATTTCTTTTCCCAAATCTCAAACACGTACACAATACACTATCTAAATTTCTCAGCACATATACAGTACACGATATTGTTAGGGTTTTGGCACTAAAGTGAGCAACTGATGTGATCTCACTCAACAGATGACATTTAAACACATAAGCAGTTTCATTATCTCTGCTGTCCTTACAGCAGCTTGTTTTTCAGGTCATGCAATGGCTACCATGGAGGTACTGATGTCATTTTAGTCATAACCATGTTGATTTAAAAATATGTCTGATGTTATCAGGGTAGCCGTGATGTGGCTGATTCACACAGTTTGCATTTTTATTTCTATAACTCTGCACTATTTTCCATTGTTTTAAATGTAAACGCCAACAAGAGTTAACAAGAGTATTGTCAGTTTTAAGCATATCTACGAGCTAGTGTGCTTCAAAAAGTGACAACATTTGCATTTAGAACATCCAAAGCTTACAGTTTGTCACTTCTGCCTAAATGGATTTGAGTATGAATTGTGTTTGACTCCCATGAGCTTGACTGCATCCATACATCTCTGCAATGAGTCAAATACCTTATTAATAAAGTCATTTGGAATGGCAAAGAAAGCGTTCTTGCAGGATCGCAGAGTTCATCAAGATTCTTTGGATTCATCTTCAATGCCTCCTCCTTCATCTTACCACAGACATGCTCAATAGTGTTCATGTCTAGTAACTGGGCTGGCCAAAATCAACATCTGATTTTTAAGACGCTCTGTCAAGTTAAAAGAACTTAAAGGTCCCGTGAAATTAAAATAACCTTTTTTAAGAGAGTATTGTCAGTTTTAAGCATATCTATGAGCTAGTGTGCTTCAAAAAGAGGCAAAACTTGCATTTAGAACATCCAAAGCTTACAGTTCGTCACTTCACCTAAACGGATCTTTTTTTTTTTTTTGTCACTTCATACTTCCGTTTCTCATCAAATCTTGACCAATCAAATGCTCTCTAGTATCAGGCTTGTTCCGTCCCTTCCTATTTGCTTTTCATTGGATGCATTTGAGCCCAACCACTCTCACTTGCAGAGCTGTGATGAAAACTAAACGCTACTGGCTGTTTTTTTTAAAAGGGGAGGAGCTACTCTATGTCCCATACCCTCTTTATGTTTGAGTTGGGGTTATGTCAAACACTAAATAAAAACGCACAATCAAAACACTTCATGGGACCTTTAAAAGCAGTTGACCGATCAGAAGAACTTGAAGGTGAGCCAAGCATCTTTATCCAAGCCCGCAAGCTTCTGTTTACAGTAGCAAGTTGTATTTGATGTTAACATGGCAGAGGAGGCTTTGTAAAAACCCTTCCTTAGTGCATGCACGTTGTGGTTTTTAGACACAAAGGCGCTCTCTGTGTGAATGGCCTCAAAGATAAATTTGATTACAGCAATGGACTGCATGAAGAAATAAAAATGACTTGACTGAAGTGATGAAACGCAGAGCACTTGTAAAAATATTCTCATTGCAATCATTTTACAATAGTATCCACATACTTTCATGAATATATAAGCATGGTGTTATGTGTGTGCTTACTTTGACGAGCTCTGGCTCCCATGAGTCCAGTGTAAGGGATCGTACCTTCGAGAAGTGGACACCTAAACTCCTGCAAATACAAAAGAGCATGTGTTTTATTATATCCACCTGTTTCTGTGCCCTTTGGTGCTTTTTGTGAATTTTAAGAAAAACATTTGCAAACAATATGTGGGCAGCCAGCAATGTTTAGCACTGTTGCCTCACAGCAAGAAGACCTCTGTTTTGAGTCCCGGCTGGGCCAGATGGGATTTCAGTGTGGACTTTGCATGTTGCGTGGGTTTCCTCCGGGTGCTCCGGTTTCCCCCACAGTTTAAAGACATGTAGTATAGGTAAATTGGATTAACTAAATCGGTCGTAGTGTGTGTGTCAATATGAGAGTGTATGGGAGTTTCCCAGTACTGGATTGGAGCTGGAAGGGCTTCCTCTGTGTAAAACATATGTTGGAATATTTGGCAGTATATTCTGCTGTGGCGAACCCTGATAAAAAAGGGAGTAAGCTGAAGGAAAATTAATGAAAGAATGAACAATATGTGAAATATTTGAAAGAATGTATCCAATGAAATGTCATTAATCACCTCACAGGACAACATCAAATATTAAAAGGCATCTAACTACAATTAACAACACAAAGAGAAAATAGTCTGGCAGAAAAAGTGTTTTGATCACTGTGACATCCTATGAAGTTACTGAAGTTTCCTCTTTATAATTGAGCGTTGGCTCCTCCTTTTAGACAATTATGGGAATCACCTGTCGTTGACTTCCTATGACCCTTTCAAAGTCTTAATGCTGGCATTTTGAGACAGGCTGCTGCACATTGTACTGAACTCTTTTTGATTTTGTTGGTACATCCAACATTGCTACACTACATTACATTACTTACTATGGAGGTCAATAGTAAAAGTTTTCTAACTTTTTAAAAAATATGTTCTTTTGTGTTTAACAGAAAAAGAAAACTCTTGAGGGAGAGTACTGTACATCCACAGTAATGCGTTACTGTATTCTAAATACATTTTTGGGGAACATACTAATGTAATGAATTACATTTTAAATTAATGTAATTTCATTAAAATTACTAAAGTCAGTGTGATTTAGTTACTTACAAAACAAATGTAGTTTTCAAAAGAAAAAAATGCTTCTAAATCAAGTTTTCCACTGCAACGTCAGTTAGTGAGGATGCGCTTTTAAATTGCTGTTAAACGCGAGCTCAAATGGTTGCTGAAAAGAGTGCTTGCTTCTTGGAAATACAGATATTACTTTGATTTCAATAAACGTACAAACAAAAAATATTGCTTTGTCTTTTTTTAGTCTCTAAAGAACTTTCGACTGCTTTTAACTCAACCAGCAACTTCTTCAAGCACTTGAACAGAAAGCTTTCTATGACAACAATTGTCACCAAGGAAGACTTTAGCGCCCAAAAACATGGTGGTCCCTCAGCCTAAACAAGCTAAATTGGATATTTGTGCAGGATCGGGATTTAAAATATTTTCTGAATGTGAAGAGAAGTGTAGCTGCTTATGGGGCCGCTTATATATCGCGTCTTTTGCGCACACATATTGCGCACATGCATTTCCCAGGTGCACCCAGTTGAAAACCGTGAGTTATGTGAAAAGAACTGACCAATCAGCTTCATACTTTGTATGGAATATATACATTTAGGTAGACTAATTACCTCAGACAAACACAGAACACTCAAACACTGCAGTGATATTGCATGCTATGGATGTCAGTGGTTACAGGTATCCAGTTTTCTTCAAAATGTCTTTCTTTTTAGTATTAAAAAAGACAAAAATGGATTGGAAAAAGTAAATGATGAGAGAATTTTAAGTTTTGGCAAACTCTTTAAGTCTGTTGAATAGGCCTGTGTCAAGCAGCTGTGATCAACCCACTGTAACATTTTTCAGTGAAAGAGCTGCAGTTTATTTTGTATTTTGTATAGGTATGTTTTATATGTTTTAAAAGTAACTTTAAAGTAAAGTAATTAGTAATCTGATTACTTTTTCCATGAAGTAATTAGTAATGTAGATTACAGATTACAATTTTCCAGTAGTAGTCAGGAATTTGTAATCTATTACTTTTTAAAAGTAACATACCCAACACTGATCTTGAGTAAATTTTAATTTTTGGGCGAACAATCCCATTAAAATACCAAGCATAACTTTATTTTCATGACGAATAAACCCAGAAGTACCTATGGTTCAGTTTTCACAATACAGTAGTCAACATTAAAAGTGAATCAAAGATTGTTTTTCAAAATTGTCCTAGAACAACAAAGGTTGTTCAAATATCGACTACTGTATATATCGAATATTTGTACTCTAGTACCTTTATAATAATCGAAAGTGATTTGCATATAGTGGCTAACTGATTAATAATTGTGTGTGTATGTGTGTTACCTGTGAATGCCCGAGCAGGTAATGCACAGTGTGATGCCCAGATTGATGGATGCCCAGTCAGGTCCAGGCTCCCCGCAGTCGCAGCACTGGCTGTTGCCTGAAATGGCCTGCACCTCCTCCAGAGCCTCTCGAACACATGCCTCCGGCTCTCCTCCACTCAAACGCACACTCCCAACAGACACTGAGCTACAGCGATCTCTCTGGTAAACACACACACACACACATCCTTCTTATAACACTCAAATTCATGTCCTCTATTGAAATAACAGCAATAATTCTGCATGTCAGTGCATCACGCTCAGTATATCTTTTACATCTTGGAGTTATTTGAAGATTAGTTAATGCAAAATTAATTAATTAATTAATTAAAACTATCCAACAGCACTCAATCAAAGACTATAGAATACACACGACAGGTCACTGGTATAGTTTTGAATGAGGAAAAGTGGAACGCTTTATATGGCAAATGAAGCCCCACTTACTAGCAGAGGAGCCAATCATCGATGGCTATAGACCAGATGTGACCAAAGTTTTTCTTATAAAGGGCCAAAAACCAAACTAGACTGAGGGCAGTGCACTGAATATATAGCAAACCGCATTACAATAAATTTGCCAAGGAGAATTTGCTAATTCATTCAATAATATATATATTTTTTAAACTAGAAAATGTTGTTTTAAATCATATTAACTAATCCAGTGTCATATTTAACATTTTATAATGAACTTATTGTAGTAAAACATAAATAATCCCATTTATAACACAATGGAGTTCAATGCTAAATACACTTAGTCAAGCTGACAGTGACAGTATTTACATTTTAAAAGTCTGACTCACAACATTTAATTGAATCTTGTAATCTGTAGAAGCGAACGCAAGGTACAGTCCATCCAGTCAAACGCACATCACATGACAGCAACTACTCAAACGCCCCACACATTTGCAAACAAAAGGTGCCTTCGACATGAAGCACATCTACAGCCGACAATCAACGAGATTAGCAAAACGCAGGTGGGGGCAGAGTTGAAAATGGAGCTGTCAAGCCGGACACTTCGGGGCTCAAAGTTGCTGCTGTAATGATGACCGATCACAAGGCGTGATCATTTATTCATTTGTTTATTTATTGCAATAACAACAAAATATTTACAGTATAAATAAAACAGAATACAGCCTCCACAAACTATAGTTCATTTTTAAACAATAAGAGAATTATAAATTAAATATATAACAAAACACTCATCAGTGTCGTCATCAGAGCTCGTAAAGTCGCTCTTTAGATGCTGCACCGGCTGAATCAGTCGTCTGATCTCCGAGCGCTATCGAGGTACTTTGGTGACACATGTGACAGTCGAGTGACTATGTAATAGCAACATGTATTAAACTTATATGTACATAGGCTAAAGTAAAAGAAATGTATTTTACTTAAAAGCAATGTAGTATTTTATATAATATCTTTATTTATAAATATAAGTCTACCATATGTCTACAGTTAGATTTTGAGTGTGTGTGTGTGTGCACGTGCGTTTGAGACGTACAGAGCTATGATTATCATCTCTTCTCTCCTGGAATGCTGAGGCGATGCTGTTCTGGACCGCGCTGATCCAGCTCTGCTGCTGTCGCTCTGAATCAGCCTGTAATAAACAGCTCCTGCACAAAGCACAAAGACACACGCTGTCATTTGGACTTTGACTGGGATATGTACAAACATGCTTATGTGCAGAATAACATGTTTACAGTGTTGTTTCAGTTAAACCATAGCAAAAACACTAACACTGCAAAATATAGAAAAACATTGCATGGCTAAAAATACATGGCAGTTCTGTCTGTTTAGTACACAGATACACGCACCCACACACAAACACACACACACACACACACACACACACACACAAATAGAGAGACTCACTTGGAGGGAGAAACGACCTCAAAGCAAAAGCGTCTGTCTTGTTCACTGCAGGGCTTCACTGTGCACAAACGCAAGTCCTCCACAACTACAGTGATCTGCTCCTGTTACAGAAAAACTGAAGTAAATAAAAGGCAGCCGCCATGAGAGATGTGTGTATCTCTATGGTCACCCAAAAAGGAGAACAAAAGATTAAACATTCTAAGCTCCAATTCCCAATATTTTACCAGTGGTTTGTGGGTTTTTTGTGTATCGGTTTATGGGTGTGAAGCAATGTACAGTAGCATTACTGGCATTGGGAAATGGTACAATCCAATACTTACATTGTGTTTCTTTTGGTAAACCAACTGGTTCTTCTGAATGGAGAACCAGCGCCTGTAAAATAAACACACACGTAGGTGTAACTTTGGTTTAGAAAGTGTGTGTGTTTGCATTTTAAGCAATTCTAAAATAATAATAATAATAATAATAATAATAATAATAATAATAATAATATTAATAATAATAATATTAATAATAATAATTTAAATAAACTTAATGAACTGTGTGTCCCAAATCACTTTTTTTATGTAAACTGCAGATAGACAGCACTGCATTTCTTCATTTGAAACTTCATTCGCAGACCAATATATAAACATGTTGAGCATGATCATTACTTTAATAAATGTCTTTCATGCATAAACCACCTTAAGCTTAAAAATGTTCTATTTGATATGATCATTTATGATATATGATCATTTCAAACAGGATTTCCAAAAGTGGAAAGTATTCCACACACACACACACAGACATATATTTCAGGGCCATGTAAGGCATCAATAATGCAATCACACACTTGATTGTAATTCATAACATATAGCTTTGAAATGAACACTCTCTCATAGACACATGTGCAAAATAAAAACGGGTAAAAAGCTAAGAAAACTGCTTTGGAATAGGTCTGCTTGTAATACAAGTGAAAAAAATTATTTGATGTTAAAATAATATTTATTGAAATTATATTTGGCACGTACAAACGTACAAATGTACACTTTACAATTTGTGGCAATACGGTTAAAAATAACAATTTTAACTTGCTCCTGAAACAACTTCCATATAAAACAATATAATTAGCAGATAAAGGAAGCTAAAACTATTTTAAAAAATAGGTTGTAAGGATTGTTAAGGGACTTTTATGTCGGGTTAAAGTGTAAAAAAAGTTTTAAAGCTTTGTAACCTAAACGAAAGAAAGAAAGAAAGAAAGAAAGAAAGAACATTGCTACATTGATAACACTTAGTATGTTTACATGGACACCAATAATTTGGTTTGAATGCGATTGAGACAATACTCTGATTAAGAGTCTACTGTGTAAATAGTGAATTTTGATTCATTTAATCGGTTAATCAAACTAAACAGAAATAGAATTAAGACATGTGGAGTATGCTGATTTTAGTCGTAGTATTAAAGTGCAGTACAGACATGTAAACACCTTAAACTATTACCGTCATGTAGGACTTTTCACCGCATTTTGCGACAGGCTATTTTGTACACACATGACTCTTTGACAATATTCTCTGCACCTACCGAGTCAGTGAAGGACACAGACACCTGCATCATAAATTGCGAAGGTTTTTTCCCCCATACGGCATGCGGTATTAAATTCCATTAAAACAACACTCATCCAGCAGTTCATACTCGCATCCAATATCTCTTTTGTCACAGTGGCATGAATAAAATGTTCCTGAATGAAAGTGAAAGTGCCACACTGCAGTTAAAGTTGACATTAAAAATGAAACACCCAAAGGAAGAGTGTTGTTTTAATCGAATTTAATATTGCATGCCGTATGGGGGAGAAAAAATCTGTATTTCATGATGAAGGTGTCTGTGGTCCTTCACTCACTCGCTAGATGCAGACAATAGTGTCAAACAGCCATGTGTCTACAGACCATCCTGTCACCAAATGTGGTGAAAATCCTACATGATAGTAATAGTTTGATTGCGGTGTTTACATGTCTGTACTGCACTTCAATAGTGACTAAAACCGCCATACTCCACGTCTTAATCCCATTTCTGTTTGGTTCGATCATGACCTTAATCGGATAAAATTAATCGAAAATTGCTGTTTGCATGGTAGACTCTTAATCAGAATACTGTCTTAATCGTATCAACATCAGATTATTGGTGTCCATGTAAACACTTAGCATACAGCTATCGTATTTTGCTAGCTCATCTAATTTGTTGCTTTTAACACTATGCTAGCATCAATTAGCATGTTGCTTTCAAACCTAACATGTTTAACACATGGATAGAATAAATTAGCATGTCGAAGACAACATTTCAATACATGGCTAAGGTGTATTAACATATAAAAGGTTGGTAGCATATTTCTAGAATGTTTCAGTATGTAACTAATGTGTTCCACATTAACAAATACTATAGAAATATGTAGTACATACTGTAGTGTTTTTGAACCATACTTTAGTAAAGTGTATTATACTGTTTATATCTGCTTCAGCATACTGTAGTATTAACTATAGTAGCTGATAAAATGTAACAAATACTGTTATATACTTAAGTTTAGACTACAGCAAACGGTGATTGGTTGTAGTACAATATAACTATACTTACTATAGTATTGTTTATAGTATTGTAATTGTTGCATTACCCTGGCAACAAAATAATTACCACATTTAATTGCTTCACTGATATGGATCAAAAACACTATTGTATTAACTATAAATTACTATAGTGTTTTTCATGTGAGGTTGCAACATTTTTACAATGTTGCTAGCATAAATTAGCAAGTCTCTATCATATCTAATATGTTGTAGTCATGTTATAACACTGACTGATTTTAGTATTTACATAGCATTAACATTCCTAGCATTAAATGTATCAGTGCTCTACCTGCTCCATGTTTTGAAAGCATTGCTGGCTCTCTTGTACAGGTAACCTTCCATTGCAATGCCATTGGGAGCATCTGGGCTGAAGTCCATAATGGAGTCATCATACGAAACATCCTGAAGACAAACAAAAATATATATATATCATTCTTCAGATAAAATGTAAGTGTATGAGCTTAGTATTGTCCTGTATACCAAATGTCTTCACAAGTATAGCAAAACCAGTACATTTTGACCATGTTGGGACATTTTTGTGGTCCCCATGAGGAAATCTCACAGAACGGAGTATTTTGAAAATGTAAAAACAAAGATTGTTGCTGTGAGGGTTGAGTGTAGGGGTAGGTGAATAAAATGTACAGTTTGAATACTTAAGTGCAGTGTTTAATACAGGACATACAGTATGAATTGTATAAAAACCATCAGGGCTATCTGAAGTCCTCATCAAGATAGCTGTACAAGTGTATGTGAGAGTGTGCCTGTGTGTGATAGAGGGAGTATTGCTACCTTCTTCTTGACAGCACCATGTCTCTGCTCCATGTCCCTTTTGTCTCTTGCAGAATTCAGGACTAGTTGAGCATTCTGCAAAAAAAAAAATAATAATAATTTACACATTTTACACTGCAGTTGTTAAACTGTCTCAAAGTTTCATGAGCCAATGTTTTTATTCTCTTACAGTCGCACAAACAAATGCAAGTGATATTTCTCTCACATAACATGTTTTTGATAATAAAAAGTGACAAGCAAAAATCTCAGTCACTGATATTTTCAATGTAAGAAATAAACGAATAAATCTAATAATCTAAACAATGAATTAACTAAGTTAAATAAGTGTAATATAGGAAAGTGCGTAAATAAATGTATTATAATAAACTTTTATTTTTTAACACAAGACAGAATGCCATAGGTTTTATTATTTTTATACACAAAGGTGTATACGTTTATATACTTTATTAGGTACACCTGTCCAACTGCTCGTTAACCAAATTACAAATCAGCCAATCACATGGCTGCAACTCAATGCATTTAGGCATGCAGACATGTTCAAGTCGATCTGCTGCAGTTTAGACCAAGTATCAGAATGGGGAAGAAAGGTGATTTAAGTGACTTTAAACGTGGCATGGTTGTTGGTGCTAGACGGGATGATCTGAGTATTCCAGAAACTGCTGATCTACTGGAATTTTCACACACAACCATCTCTATAGTTTATAGAGAACGGTCAGAAAAAGAGAAGATATCCAGTGAGTCGCAGTTCTGTGGGTGCAAATGCCTTGCTGATGTCAGAGGGAAATGGCCGAGGTATGCTGAAGAGCATCCCTGAACGCACAACACGTCCAACCTTGAGGCAACTGGACCACATTTGAGGCAAATGGACCACAGACCACACCGGGTGCCACTCCTGTCAGCTAAGACCAAGAAACTGACGCTACAATTGGCACAGGCTCACCAAAATTGTACAATAGAAGATTTGAAAAACGTTGCCTGGTCTGATGAGTCTTGATTTCTGTTGCGACATTCAGATGGTAGGCTCAGAATTTGGCATCAACAACAGGAAAGCATGGCCTTGTATCAACGGTTCAGGCTGGTGGTGGTGGTGTAACAGTGTGGGGGATATTTTTTTGGCACACTTCGTGTCAACGCCACAGTCTCCCTGAGAATAGTTGCTGACCATGTCCATCCCTTTATGACCACAGTGTACCCATCTTCTGATGGCTACCTCCAGCAGGATAACGTACCATATCATAAAACGCGAATAATCTCAGACTGTTTTTTTTTAACATGATAATGAGTTCACTGTACTCAAATGGCCTCCACAGTCACTAGATCTCAATCCAATAAAGCACTCTAGGTGAAACGGGATGTGCAGCTGACAAATCTGCAGCAACTGCATGATACTATCATGTTAATATGGACCAAAACCTTTGAGGGAATATTTCCAGTACCTTGTTGAATCTATGCCACAAAGAATTAAGGCAGCTGAAAGCAAAAGAAGGTCCAACAGAGTACTAGTAAGGTGTACTTAATAAAGTGAGTGTATATACATTCAAAAAATGCTATTTTCAAGGATCAAAAGTTTTTCATTTATCTGGTACAAAACAAAAACAACCCAAAAAAAATCTAATTTTTACACCTTCCAAAGCACCTTTTCTTTCTGATGCCGGTAATTTATATTTTTAAACTTTGCAAATCTCATTTTACTCACAATTAACAACTAAAAGAGAGAGATAATACCCATGAAAGCATTTCAAATGACATCATGAGATGTTGTGTGAATGTGCTGATGATTATTGTGCATGCATTCAACAACATCCTCACAAACCATCAGATTTCAAGTAATTAATAAATGAAATAGATTACATAGAACAGAATGTGAATGTGTGGCTGACAGAAAATACTAAAAAGACGGAAACTTTGAGACGGAGGTTTGGACCATTTATCTAGTTCTCAGAATGGAAGTTTAATTGTATATACGGTATGGTACAATTATAAACACATGTACAGAGGCGCAGTCTAAATCCCCACTGCTGTGTGTAGTTATTATGTGACTTTTCTAGTCAGCTCTAATTGTAGAGTCTGCACTGCAGTGGCTTTCTGGACCACAGCAAGCAAAGAGTCAAGTGTCTTCCAGGGATTAACCCAATGAGAAATAAAGTAAGACACACTGGCGCTCGCTCAACTTTCTGACCTATTTCAAGAAGAGGTCATTGAGATCACCTTCTCCATGTTTACTTATCTTCACTGGCTTTCCTGTTCTCTTTCCTATCACAGCTTTTTTCCTCTTGTCCCTGATTCTATAACACTATATTTGCAAACTGTTTTCATAACCCAACCAATTCTATATTTATGCAGAACATCCTTAATGTTTCCACTTTTAAATCTGCACATCGCTTCAGAGGACTTCACTGCTATCTACAGGCTTTCGCAATCTCTCTTGACATTTGTCTTGCTAAGCTTTTCACCATTTCCTGCGCTTACAGGAAGCTGTGAGCAGGTTTTTGTGGGTTTCACAGGCCAGTAGAAGGTGAGTAAGTTTCCTGTCTAAAACTAAACAAGTTCCTCAGTATCATCATGCCAAAAACATAGCAACAAAAATATGAATCTTCAACACCTTCACACATTAAACATGCAGTATCTGATCTAATGAAAATTGTCAAAAGAAATATAATAAAACACTTTTTTAGATCTTGGGATGTTCATTTTAGTGATCAGTCGCTTGGTGTGTGTGTGTGTGTGTCTGTTTAGGGTCTTAAAAAGTGTTTTTTTCAGGCTGTTTCTACAGTGTGTTGAGAAGTATGTGCCAAGACACAAACCGACGTGTGATGCGTTCTGTTTCCTGTTGTTGCTCACCCTGGCAGAAAACTTCCTGTCATGATGGGCCGTCATGTGATCTCTGAGTGCACCATCACACTCCTGTCATTAGACCTTCTGTGCTCTTTTTTTTTTTTTTCAATCCAAACATTCCACCGTTTTTTTTACTTCCCAACATGATTTGAATGAGTTTCCTCTTTCAAACAACAACTGCTTTTGTCCAACTGTGCACTTCACACTTTCCCTTTCTCTCCTTCCTTCCTCTATTTTAATCATGTGTCAAATAGCTTCATGCTAATCACATTAGATGGCAGATAGATAGATAGATAGATAGATAGATAGATAGATAGATAGATAGATAGATAGATAGATAGATAGATAGATAGATAGATAGATAGATAGATAGATAGATAGATAGATAGATAGATAGATAGATAGATAGATAGATAGATAGATAGATGCATTGGATGGATTGATGGATTGAAGGACAGATGGATCAATAGACAAAAATAGATGGATATACAGATGAGTGGATGGATAGATGGATGATGGATGGATGCATGGACGGATAGATAGACAGATGGACGAACGAATATATGGATGGATAGACATAGACCGACAGATAGACAAATAAATGAATGGATGGGCAGGTAAATGGATGGACGGATAAAAGGACAGATAGACAAATGGATGGATGGACGGGTGAGTGAATGAACAGATGGATGGACGGACGGACGGACGAACGGACGGACGGACAGACGGATGGATCAACAGACAAATAAATGGATGGATGAATAGATAGATGGATATATTTCTTACCTCATCATGTAGCTCCTTGCGATAGTTTTCCAGTTCTGCGAGTGACTGATGGCTCTGCTGGAAGAAAAGAGCCTGGGCCTGTATTAGAGAAAGCATCTGACACGCAAAAAACAGCATAAGTGACTGCAAGTTCCAATTCATATGACTCAAAATCTTTCTACATGATGACACATACCGCCTGAAGAATTTCTGTTTTCTTCCTAGACTCAATGACATTAATCTAGATAAAGAAGGGGAAAAAAAGATGATTTAATAAATAATAATAATAATACATTTTATTTATGATAAGCTTTTTTTAAACTCAAAGCACTACAAGATCAAATAAAAAATGCAACCCAAGTCAGAATTACAAGCTTGCATAAAAGCCCAGTAACAAGCCAAAAGTCAGACTTATCAAATCAATAAAACAATAAATAAGCATAAGGTTACAAATTGCGTGAACGTGACAGTGATAATCACAACTTAAATGCTTTGCTAAAAAGAATGACACCAATTAAGAACGATTTATTAAAATAATACATCAAAGGGAATGACTGCTTTTACGACATCACAGTTTTCACGGAGTGTAGTTTCACAAACTAATTTCAAGTGGAGCATGTGATATGTTTGAGCACGACTGGCTTGCTTTAAATGGATCGTTTTCTCCCTACTGCTCTATCTTTATTTTTCTATCTTTTATTTTATCTTCTCCTTTTCCTCCCCTTACTAAGGGGGAGCTCTCGAGACCTACCTGATCTCGGATCTCCTTAAATGCTTATTGACCGGGCGGGAGCCTTGGGTCAAGTATCTCCGAGCTCAGGGTTCTCTCCCGGGACAGCATGCCAAACCTGCTATTAAGGCTAAGCATATCTAAGTGGGAACTCTTGAAACTGAATTTGTGCTGTTTATGTAGAGACAATAATGGACTCGTTCTTAAAAACTGAAGGTTGTTTTTAAAAGATTGCATTTTTTTTATATGTCCTTGTAGTTTTTTACCTGCAACACATAGTCCAGGGCTCCTGATCTGAAGGCTCTGCGTGCGATCAGCAGGTTATTGCTGGCCTCCTCCACCTCATGCTGTTTTCCGCGTGGTGCCTGAGCGTTCCTGCTAAGAGCCGCCTCCAAGTTCTCACTGCTACGCTCAAACTCCTTACGCACATCCTTAAATCGCTTCACATCACTTCAGGGAGATACAGGACATAATATAAACATTAATGCCCTGAATTTTACATTTTACAACAGGTTACTAAACTATGTTTGCAGACCAACATTTTTGGTAGAGCGCCCTCTTAAAGAGATAGTTCACCCCAAAATTTAAATGACTTCATCATTTATTCTTACATTTTTGAATTTTTCGGGGTTGACTATTGCTTTAAAAGTAAATATGGAGGTTTTTACAGTGATGTCATTGAACAACTTTTGTTTGTTCCCTAAAATACCTTCTTCAAAGAACCATTTTTATAGCACAGCCTCATTGGGAATACATGCCTAGGGCTTTATTTTTTAACAGAAATGTGCTTCAGCATATGTTTACCTACAGTTTCTGGGTAAAACTAATATTTCAGTATGACACGCACAACTTTTCTTCCTTTTTGCACTATGATATTTACAGTGACATATTATTGATGGGTAAAGGGTTGTTTTTTTTCTCACCGTTGTTTGCGAAGCACCAAATAAACATTACAGAAACAGCTTAAATGGATCTGTGATCTTTAATCCAACACATTCACCTCCCGGCCTATCTCCTTATTAATGACTTTCCCGATGTGGTCAGTTTGCTCGGTAGCTCGCCTTGTGGGTGAGTGGGTCAATTAATGCTTTTTAAAATACTATTGGTTGGGTTTAAAGAAGGGGGAGGATAGAGGTCTGGGTCAGTTGGTCAGTCAGTTGGTTAACAGCGGCCTCTGGTGGATTTACATGAGAGTAGCAGGTGCGAATGGTACTCACGAGATTTGATTGAAATTTGAGATAAGAAAAAGCGTACACAGCGGTCTCTGGCAGATTGGCAAAGAAAAATAAATAAATAAATACTGCCAAAAAATGTAGCTCCTGAGACGTTTTGTTTTCTCTAGTAATTAATATGGGGTTTTTTGATGTCAACACAAGCTGCAAAGAAGCATCGCAGAAGCAACATATTTCACGGTTCACAAAAATGTAGCCCTAATTACATATTTCCAATGAGCCTTGGTTGATTGTTTTAACCAAGTGTGAAGAACATTTTAATCATCTCAAGAACCTTTAACCACCATAAAGAATTTTTTGTGCAATTAAATGATTCCATAATTGATAATAATTTTTCCTGAATGCCATGTAACTGAAAACTAAAATGCCTTTAGGAAAGAGTAAAAAAAGCCTTACTCTTTAACAAAATTCTGTAGCTTCAACTTCACATCCTTCTGCGTGGTTTCGATCAACTCCTGTTTGGAGAAACACAATTCATGGAATGGGAGACAGGCCAAAAGCAAAGGGAAAACAGGAATACATCCCCATAACAGATTGTTGGCACTTACAGTGGGTTACTATAGTAACAGTGACAGTAAAAAGAAAGGAAGAACTCAACTCACCTCTTGAGCACTAACAATGGCTGACAGCTTTTTAGAAAACTTTTCTAAACAGTCCTGAAATAAAGAGAAGCAGCTTCAATTAGATGTTTATTAACTCTCAATCATTTTCAATGGTTTCAGGATGTTTTCTTTTCCAATTTTACTTTCAATCAAGGAAATGTTTTTTTGCTGAAAGATTTGGGGTCAGACAGAATTTCAACATTTTAATATATGCACATATTACATATTAATATATGTATATCTAGGTGCAGAGCAATATTATTAAATATTGCAAATAACATGAATATATATATATATATATATATATATATATATATATATATATATATATATATATATATATATATATATAATTTTTTTTTTTTTTTTTTTTATAAAACATTAAAGTCTATTCTATCTTTTCATCTTTTACAATGTCTAGGCACACATTAACATTAGCTTTACTAATTTGGGCAAATATTTCTTTCCAAACTAAGGTAAACCTCAAAATGTCATGAACATCTTCACGTCTGATATTTGGCACTGAAAATTGTTGTCGTTTCACACACTAGTCAGGAATCTGTCATACAGTTATGACTGTGACAGCACAGGTCTGCAACATACAATTATGCTGTATCACTTCCTTCTTCTTTTGATTAGTGATCACATACACACATATACTACCTCAAGTATCAGTTAGTCCTAGTGACTAACCCTGCGTGTGTTTCTGTGTACAGTAAGTGATGCTAATTTAAAATTGGTCTGTTGATACACTCACCCCCATAGATCGGTCCTCAGAACAGTGATGTCCCAGCTCCTTCAGGCCATTTACAAAGCTCTTACTGTTCTGGCAATAGGCACGGCCTGTTTCCAGCATAGTGTGACACTGCTTCACCAACTATGCAAACACACATTTTTTTAAGGATGTAAAATAATGTCATATTATTCACAACAGAATATACATTTCATTTAAAGCTTTGGTAACCAAACAAATTATCGCTGAGACAAATTGCAGGCCTCTGTGATCTGAAAGCATTCGGTCTGATAAACTCGAGGGAAATTGTCTTGGATTGTGGTTAAAAGCTTTTCAATTAGCAATTCCTCATTGCAGTTCCTCTGCAGAACACTGTATCTCTTCACAAGAGAGTGAGAGAGAAGAGAGGAACAATGACTTGGTGTCAAATAAAGCAATTGAACATGTGAAGGTCAAAACAATGACATTCAATATTTGGGATGCTATTTTACGGCTTAATGTGAGGTTCATTCTGGTGTGTTTTGAAAAATTAGAAATTATTTTGTTTATGACATAGGGGTGGGTGATATGACCAAAATTCTATTTCACAGAATGAGTGATTTCATTTCACTGTTAAGATATACACTCACCGGCCACTTTATTAGGTAATGCAAATTTCTAATCAGCTAATCACATGGAAGAAACTCAATGCATTTAGGGTATGTAGACATGGTCAAGACGATTTACTGCAGTTTAAACCGAGCATCAGAATGGGGAAGAAAGGTTTTGCGTGACTTTGAATGTGGCATGGATTTTAGTTACAGTCAGGCTTGTCTGAGTATTTCAGAAACTGCTGATCTACTGGGATTTTCAAGCACAACCATCTCTAGGGTTTACAGAAAAAATATCCAGTGAGCGGCAGTTCTGTGGGCGCAAATGCCTTGTTCAAGGTGATAGAAAGGCAACAGTAACTCCAATAACCACTCGTTACAACAGAGGTATGCCAAAGAGCATCTCTGAACACACCAATCTTGCGGCAGATGGGCTTCAGCAGCAGAAGACCACACTGGGTGCCACTCCTGTCAACTAAGAACAGGAAACTGAGGCTACAATTCGCACAGGTTCACCAAAATTCGTACAATAGAAGATTGGAAAAACGTTGCCTGGTCTGATGAGTCTCCATTTCTGCTGCAACATTCGGATGGTAGGGTCAGAATTTGGTGTCAACGACATGAAAGCATAGATCCATCCTGCCTTGTATCAACGGTTCAGGCTGCTGGTGGTGGTGTAAGGGTGTGGGGGAGATTTTCTTGGCACACTTTGGGTCTATTAGTACCAATTCCCATCTCCATACCTTTATGACCACAGTGTACACATCATCTCAGACTGAATCATCTCAGACTGGTTTCTTGAACATGACAATGAGTTCACTGTACTCAAATGGCCTCCACAGTCACCAGATCTCAATCCAATAGAGCACCTTTGGGATGTGGTGGAACAGGAGAATCGCATCATGGATGTGCAGCTGACAATTCTGCAGCAACTGCGTGATGCTATCATGTCAATATGGACCAAAATCTCTGAGGAATATTTCCAGTACCTTGTTGAATCTATGCCACGAAGGTAAGATTGGTGTCAGTAAATAAGTCATTCCTTCTTTAATTTATTTTATCATTATCTCAAACAAGACTAAGCATTTTACGACATAACTTCATATTATCCGTATATTTTGCTTCAGCGCCAGTTCAGCTAAATCATATGTAAACGTGCACCTTAGATTGCTGACCTTATATTACTATGAGCGCTGCAGTCAGCACTACCCTCAGTCTCACTGCACATGACTTAGCCAAGCTCAATTATTAACATGTCACAGTACACATGAAATAAAAAAATCTATTACAGTCAATGGCAATGTATTCAGTGGTAATGATATTTAACGTGCACAAGTGTGAAGAGTGTGAGGAGTGTTTACTGGTGTTGAGTGTTCATGGTATCAATGCCAGTGAAGGAATAAGTTCAAAACCTAGTGAAAGTGGTTTGTTCATAAGTACTTGTGAATTGCAGCATTTCCTCACCTTCTCGAGTCTTGTCTCCAGTTCACCAACATTGACCTCCACCTTCTCGATTTCTGACCTGTTGGATGTAACATACATTTTCAACAAACAGAGCTGATCACTGAGTGTGTACTTAGCATAAAACATTGGTAAGTTAATAAAGCGAAACAATTTTGAGAAGTAGGTTACACTTGATTTTAAAGGTTTAACTACTGAGTAATAGTAATTACATGTACTTACTATATAGCCATGGCTAGAATGTGGGTTAGGTTAAGAGTTAGTTGCATGTAATTATGCTTAATTACTAGGGATGTAACGGTATCAGAATTTCACGGTACGGTAATACCTCGGTATGAATGGCACGGTACGGTATTTACTGAATCATTTACAGGAAAAACAAAACTAATGAAAATACTCCAAAAAATTGCCAAAAGTGTCAATGACATACAAATTAGCCATCTATCTGTAAGCTTTGAAACAGGAACTTCAATTTTTCAATTTTAATAACAAAAAATTATTAAACCATGTAAAAAAAAATAAAGTGACAATTTAGTATTGTTGAAAACTTATCACATTCAACATTTAATCACTCACTCACTTAGATAGAGATGGGTTTTAAAGAAAATTATCATATAACTATAATCTGGTAAAAGCTGGTATCTCTGGGCATTTACAATGTCCCCTGCAACAGAAAAAAACCCTCTCATTTGGGACTGAGGTTTCTGGGACAGAAATATGACTTGGCCCAGGTTGACAGCAGTGGGTAACATTGTGCATTGTCTTTCCCCCACTTGAGAGGACAAGCCATGAGTGAGATAGAGGTCTCTTTGCGGTACAAGTCAATAGCCCCTTTCACACATACAGACCTTTCTGGAAAATTGCCGGCAATTTTCCAGAAAGGTTGTATGTGTGAAAAGGTCCTTTTTAAAAAATACCGGTAAATTCGTTCTGGCTATTTTCCGGAAAGAGAAGTTGTAACATTACCGACAATTTGCCGGAATGCTGCGCTGTGTGAATGCAGAAGGAAGATTCCCGTAATAAGCGCGTGCATGTCTAGAACGTGCTGACGTGAGATGTCTGCTTTAGCCAATCACAACAGTCAGACGCATTTACGTCCGCGCAGTTTGTGAGGATAAAAGCCTTTGAATATTTTTCCAGACACATTTAGCTGCTAGAAGTTAGTCAGATCACGTTTATATGTTCTTCTTAATGCCAACTGTGTAAATAATCATTGTTGAGATGCTTATGATAAGCCGTTGTTTGTTTACCTTCAAGCTTTGCGTGTGCCTGTGAAACAGCCTGTGAGCGCCTGCACACGCACATATTATGAACATCTCGACATGCGAAAGTGATCCTGTGAAAGTTGTTCACAATATTGATCATCCACAGAGTTTGTGATGTAGTCAAATGTTTACAAATACAAGCGCAGCCGTTTAACGCTCATTTGTGGTGAATGATATCAGAATTTACCGGTATTTTGGAATGGATGTGTGAATGCTCTTTTCCGGATAATTTCCCTAACGTCCTCGCCTGTGTGAACAGCGCTTTTTTCAATATACCGGTAAAGTCTTTCCGGAAATTTTCCAGATATTTACCGGTATCACTGTGTGAAAGGGGCTAATGTCTGCATCAATCTGAACAGTGTGCTGTGTTCTGCAGTCCCCATGACTGTTATTAGTCGTATTCCCCAACTTGTATTTCACCACAGTCTGGCAGTGCCTGCATACCGTTTTTTTTTTTTGTCTGTCACCTTTTCTCCTTTCTCGTATCTTTTTAGAGAGAAACCGAAATGTTTCCACACATCCGATTTAAAACCCGCTTTAGGTTCGATCATTTCCAACTCTTTTTCATCCCTGCTACTAGCAGCACACTCCATTTCCGCATTACTGGATCTGTAGTGACAACAGACTACAGGATGATGTCAAGGATGATGGCCACGCCTGGGCTGATGGGAATTGTAGTTTCCGCTACCTCCCGTTCGCTTCGTTCGCCTGAGCAAATTTTCTCAGAAGACCTATAGTTTTATCGAGTCATGCGACAACGGTAATATTGAAAAAAATTGCTATTGCGGTATGACAGTGTTTACAATACCGTTACATCCCTATTAATTACTTGTAATAACTATGGTAAGTACATAAAACTTGTGTAAAAAGAACACCTCAACAGAGTTCTACTGAAAAGTATTATTTCATTAAGTAGGGCAGTGTGGCCATGTGACTTTTGTGTATATGAAAGTCTATATTGTACATATCGCTGTCAATGTTACACTGTCCTGTTTTTTTGGCAGTATGTTGTTGTATATTGCACTGTCAATGTATTTGCACTGTCTGTATTTTGCACTGTCGTTGTATTTGCACTGTCTGTATTTTGTACTGTCTGGAGCAAGCTTTTCACTCATCATAGCACACATGCTGCTGATGATGTGACAATAAAAGTGATTTGATTTGATATAAGTATATGTTTGCTTTTCTGTCTTGTTACCGTACGTTCACACCGAAAGCGGCGAGAGCGTCAAAGTAGCCGGAAGTCATTCATTTTCAATGAGAGCCAGCGGCAAGGGGCGGCGAGGAGCAGCGCGGCGCGTCTTCGCCGGCGTGAGCGTCGAGGAGAGTTGAAATGAAGTCAACTTTATGGTAATGAGCTATGACGCGGTTCGGCGGCAAGCAATCAGAATGAAGACGTCCATCGATTGATAGCAGTTCAGAGAACACAGACCTGTGAACTTTGGTTCCGACCACAGTTGTTCCCAAGGGTTTGATTATTGCGGTCGCCGGATTTCCAATTATTTACAATTTTTTCCTACAGGAACATACATTAAATAAGTTACTGGCGAGTTACTGATGTTCATTAATGATATATAAATTTATCTTAAAAAAGCGGGAATCTCACGCGATGTGACAGTACAAAACAGTACTGCTGCTTCAGGATATTTCAGACATATGGACACATATTGGATAAATAGAGCAAAGCCACAACACACGCAACTTGATCTTCCATTGTTGTATGAATTTGATAAGAAGTGCGCAACATTTTCACGCTAGAAACATGTTTTATGCAGGAATGTAACTGATATGCTGCAACGGCTCCTTTAAATATGAGATCAATGTAGCGAGATTTGACGCTCTCGCCGCAGGAGCTGAAGGCAGAGAGCGTTGTCGCCGGGGCGGCCAGAGCGACCTTGGACGCTCTCGCCGCTTTCGGTGTGAACGTACGGTAACACATTTATTTTCAACACACAGAGCTAATGTAGCTCTTTAGAACACAGCAAATTAAAAACACGATTTACTTCAGCATAAAACATAGTTACGTTAGTAAAGGGAAGTATTAAGAGAAGTAGGTTACACTTTATTTTAAAGGTGTCCTTGTTACGGTATGACAATTCATTTAACTACTGAGCAATATCAATTAATTACATGTGCTGACTACAGTATATGGCTAGGGCTAGAATATGGGTTAGGTTAATAGTTAGTTGCATGCAATTATGCATTATTATTTGGAATTACAATAGTAAGTACATAGAACTTGTGTATTATTAATAAAGTATTATTTCATTAGGTAGGGCAGTGAGGCCAGGTGATGTGCGTGTATGAATGTGCATATAAGTGTATGTCTGCTTTTCTGTCTTGTCAGACACAGGACAAAGCAAAATAGCACAAGTGTTAGTGGTTTTCCACTTTTGCACCAGTACAGACAGACTTATGGTACAAATGTGATGCTTATATTCAGAAGCTCAACATTTTACTTTCTAAATGAATACAGAAACTGATAGACATAATATTACAGAATAAAATGCTCCAACTTTTATAAAAGAAAATAAATTGCAAAAGGATTATAAAGTGTAATAGGTGACACTTTATAATAAAGCCTCATTGTTAAACATTAACGCATTAGCTAATAAAGCCACATTTGTTACAGCAGTCATGTTAATGTTAGTTAAAATAATAAATAATAAACATAAAACAAATCTTTATAAGTTAACAGCTCCAATAAATAAAACAGTTATGCCTTTTGATTTTAATGGGTTGTTAGACAGTACTAATAATTAACATCAACCAAGACTTATACACTCTTTACAAGTATTTTTTATCATATTTGTTGTTTAATTAACTAATAGAGCCTTTTTGTGAAGTGTTAACACTTAAAATCAGACCATTCTCTATCAATATCTCAGGCATGTCAAAGTCCAGATTAACATGTGAAATTGTTTATGGTTTATATCAAATAAATAGCCTGTTAAGTCTTTAAGTAACCAGTGCTGTGATGAACACTACTGCAAATGCAACAATCTGAATACTCTTAGAATACTCTGAATAATCTAAAAGTTTAATTAATAAATGATTATTCACTGCTTTTTGAAGTTTCCACAATAACAGTATCGTGCATGTTCATAATCACTCTATATTACAGAATATCAGCACATCTATTTAGGACGCACCTAAATTTGTATGATCGAAAAAAAGATTTTTAGCTTTGGGTTTCATTCAGATGACAAATCTCAAGCATATTATACTGAGAATAACATGTTGTATTAATTTGTTGTATGTCTCATAGGGCTGGGCCGTTAAAGGATATTATATCATATTTTGTTAATAACAATGATAAGCTCTAGACTTTTTTACTCCATACTGATCTAAGAGTCAGTCACACAGCAGAAATGTGCAACAATGGGAATCTAAAAGTGTGTTGATATTAGAGATGTACTCAATTTTCAACCACTGATAATTTTTCGGCCTAAAATATGTTATGCCATTTAATGGACTCTCTAATTTTTGTCGCTTCAGGCATTTTTGGGGTACTCTTTTAAATCTGGAACTTATATCAAAATGTATATTTTTATCGTTTAATATGGAAAATATTTATTGAATTATTTTTGCAGTATTTCCCAGCCCTAATGTCTCCTACAGTAGCAACAATGTGTTCAACAGTTGGGTTTTGGAAGCAAAAACTACATTCATGCTCCCTATAGCTTCCATCAATATTTAATGTGAGCTCTGAGGTGGTTAATTATTGTGCATTTTCTTGCCCATATTAATTCAACCTGAAAAACTATTGTGTTTCATGGTGGAATTCATGCAGAAA